GCGCTGCGACAACCCGTTTGTCCGTCGTTGCGTTTGACCAGCCAAGAAATCTTCCGTGGAGCCCTCCTTATTCGTGATCATTTGTCGGTCATCAACAAATTCATACTCGCAACCAGCGTAGGGAAGACAAAGAGGGGTTGCACACTCCCCGTTGGAAACGTCGAGAAATGATCAACAGCCAATGGACGATAAACGTGTACCACATTCTGATCCAAGAGCTTGTGCGTATCGCCGCCACTTCGCTCGGACACCATTGAGGGGTCAGAGTGATATAGAAGACCGGTGAGATGGAGCTATTCAACGGTGCTCCATTAAACGGGTCTTGTAGTCGTCGATGAATGCGTGTGAAGGCTTTTGACCCACGTTCTTGTCATCGACATTCTTCAGAACAGTAGCAGGTTTGGATATGTCCCACATCCTCGATCTAAACATCCGCCCATCGATGAGGCTGGGCAAGGAATAAGGAGGCCGAACTAGGTCCCCATCTGATGCTCAGTTGTTTCATCACAGGCTTTATGTAGCTGATGCCGAACGATGTGCTCCATCCATGGGTCGTTTGGAGCTGCGTTGTGGCCTTTTCAAAATCCACCCCATTTCCCGACATCCAGAAAATATGCTGCGTTATAGAAACAACGAAATCTCAATGTTTACTGTGATTCGAGGGAGCGCTCGTGCTCCCTATCAAACCAGATTGTGATAGATAGCAACAGGATCATGATGTCCCCAATGTTGTGCTCATCAATCCGAATTGGGGGGATCGCCTCATTGTGAGGAAACCGGGCGTGAACGTCTCTGCGCTGTAAGGCCCAAGGCCGTCATCTTCCTGCTCTTTGCTGGGGCCAACTGACTGCTACGACGTGCTCTGGCTGGGCTTGCATTTGAAGGGCATTTGTTAGCGATGTAACGAATGTACTGGTTGTCGTACTCTGCAACTGTAATGCAAATCTCATCTGAATTTGCATTTTACTCCTATTGCCCATAATACGACTTGTGTCAGGCAGACCAACCACTGTTTAGTGTGATGGAAGAGTCCGGCCAGCGACCGTCAGGCCGGCTCTACCCATGAAGGCGAGTCTAGTCCACGGGGAAGACGAATGCGTGGAGATGGTTGCGGTAAAAGGTTGTTCAATTTGAATTGAAGAGCCAAATAGTACGTAAATCAATGATCGTCGGCAAATAATCTTGCAATTTCAGCTTGGAGAACAAAGTGTTTGCTCATAGTGAATTGCTTTCGAAAAGATTGAAATGCTACAGATGTAGCTGGGAAGGGACAGAGAGATTGTCTAGGAATTGAGCGAATGTGCTCGCTTTGTGTCGTTCCGGCCCAGATACCCTTCCACTTCAATCGTGTTTGCCTCTTTATCAGGTTCATATTCCGGGAGGAAGAGTCCCTCCAGATTTCCCACACAGACTTCGAATTGTCCCAGCTGATATAGTACAAGTTCCAGGCGAGGGAGAGGATTACCATGATGTCCTTGGCTGTAGAGTACAAAGAGGTCGCGGTAAGATGCTGGAATTGATATGTCTTCATCTTTTTGAGTGCATAGCTGGTTGCACTCGAGGCGTTGCGAATCATATGAGACTCGTCGATGATAATAGTGTCCAGTTGATACTCTGACAGGTCTCCATTTGCCCATTCGCATCGTATGAGGACGTGTGTAGCAGCGTGCCGGCTGACTTCTTTGTAGTTGTGGGATTCGACATCCTGTTCGTAGACACGCTTCTTGTTTTTCTTCCACTCGGTTGCTGTGCCCACTGTAGTATTCGGTCTAGTGAGCTCTGTAAGCAGCGGCGGCGGCTTATCTGCTGTCTCTCCTAACAGTGTCTAGAGAAGACGTGGGGGGTGATATGACTGCATCAACGTCTATGAGTGGCAGGGGGAAAATAGACAATATGAGGAAAATGACAGAACTCTGAGCAGGGCGAGTAAAAAAGAGCGGAAAATAAGTAGAACAAATATTGATGATAGTGAGGGTCAAAAGAGATGTCGTAAAAGGAGAGGTTGCCTGCCTCTTAGGCATTGGGAGCAGGACCATAGTTCGATATACCGCAATAGAACACCAAGTAAAATGAAGAGATAAAGTCGCATAGTGGAGGATTATAAACAAAGATTCACGAGATGAAGTGAATGAAAAGCTTCTGGGAGGTGGATTGAGGGTGAGTTGCGAAATGGAGCGCAAGACCAATATATGCTGAATCAGGCCGCAACCATTTGTTAGATTTTTGCCCCGATACTCTTCTACATGCAGCTTGTCTACATACACCTTGTCGCTGAAACGTAGATCTAGGATTAATGTCAAGCGGGATATTGAGGAGAGTTGAAATCAAGCATGCAAATGATTTTGGTTGGTGAAGCAATCGGAGAAGCCACTTCAAACAAGCTACGCTTAGTAGAACGAGGGGGGCGAGTGCCATACATGAAACGGTTGTCACGCCGCAAACGCTGCACTACCTCGCTTGACACTCATGATGGAGGCAAAATGTTGTCTCATAAGTGTTTGCCGGAGAAAGAGCCTGTTCAGATTAACCGAAGTGGTGTTTCTCTAGGCTGCTCTCCTTCTTAGTCCTCCCATAGGGCAAACTGCATGGTTGACAAGCTCTTTTCTCGTTTTGTACTCGTGCTTAGGCGGTTCTAACGTCGCTTACACAGGAAAACATGGACATAAAACAAATCAAAGTCTTTGCCCAACCAAGCTCTACCGTCAGCGCGGTTTCCATACGCTGGGAGCACATGCCCCTGCGAGGTTGCAACCGAGTGGTCTATGTAGGCAACAATATCAGGCTCGTAGTACCAGTTCGTCAAGTATGTAGTGTACCACCCGGAAAAAACAGCATAGTTGTTTTCACGCTGGGGCGTTCCTGAGATGTATGCCACGGGCTTAGCCGTGTCGGTTCAACAAGTTCCTTCGTGAACACATACATATCGACGAGCGATGTGTTGATACGCGGTACAGGTTTGGGAGGATATGCAGACGGCTAGCTCTGTGTGAAGCATACTGATTGTATTCACAAACTCCGCTCGTGTCCATTCACGGCGGGCTGAGCGTACGTACGACTCAGATGGATTGCTCTAGAGAAGCCAGGAAGACTACCGCAAGCAGCATGATTGCCAGTTTCACATCTGTCACGACGGGCCGACGGAATACGATCATCGGCCAAGACTGTCAGCCCGTCCGAGACACAGCACCAACACCTCCAACTGTTTGGTGGAAGAAGTGGAAATGTAACGTGCCTTCGTGGTCCGTGCAATCATGTTTGGCTTGCCTGCATTTTGAACATCCTGGTTCCAAAGGAATGCTTGACATTAACAACGTCAGCCGACGAGACCTCGCGTCTGTGGGAACCGAAGGCAGCATCCGAGCACTTCCGAGCTCGGCCGAGGCCACATTCTGACCGCGATGGTTGCACGTCGTGGTTTTGGTCGGCATACGGAGCCTCTCCGAAGACTCGAGGAGCATGTCCGGCGAAGTTGCTAACGCCGACGCAGATGACAGGCGTCTCTCACCATGATGAGTCATTCGTTCGGATCTCCGACTGTGGAGGGATGATCGGTCTTTTGAACACCTTATCAATCTTAGCAAAATGAGGGGAGATGGGGCTGCCGAAGTAAAATAATGGACCGTCTTCGGCAACTTGAGCCGTGATTAGTGAGTCGTCGTCACCGTAGCCAGTGAAGACGTGCTTCACACATGATCTAGTATCCTCTCCCTGGAAGAGGATTGTTACTATTGGCCCTCTCCTGCGTACTTATACGTATTTATACGAAGGCATCCCCCTAGCATGAAATGCCTCGGAAACAATCCCAACATTACCTTCTTGCATTCCTAAGCAAAGCGTAAATACAATATGGCTTCAACCACCGCATCCAAAGCTCCCGGACCCTATGTCACCCCCAAAGAACAAGACGTCCGACCAGGTGCGGTCGATGATTACGTCAATTCCCACCTCCAGACGCCAGCCAGCAACAAGTATCACAATGCCCTCGAACACATCCGTGAGAAATCAATTGCGGCAGGCCTCCCCGACATAGCATGCTCTGCCGCCCAAGCGAAGTATCTCGCCATCCAGGTCAAGATCGCCAAGGCCAAAAATATCCTTGAGCTTGGCACCCTCGGAGGCTTCAGCGCTGCCTGGATGGCCAGCGCGGGGCCGGACGTCAAGGTGACGACAGTCGAGCTCGAGGAGCACAATGCCAATGTGGCTTCCAAGAACATCACCGAAGCAGGCCTGCAGGAACAGATCGAGATCAAACGGGGCGCAGGCCTGGACGTTCTTCCCACGCTTGTCGCCGAGGTGCAATCAGGGAAGCGGCCAGAGTTCGACTTCATCTTTATTGATGCCGACAAGCAGAATAATCTCGCATACCTGAACCTGGCTCTTCCTGCGAGTCGCTCGGGAACTGTCGTGATTGTTGACAACGTCGTTCGCCAGGGCAGGATTGCTTATCCCGAGGAGGCGGCCAAGGATGAGCGTATTTCTGCTACGCGAAACTTGATTGAGACAATCGGTAAGGACGAGCGTCTAGACGCGACCGTTATTCAAACAGTGGGCGAGAAGCAATATGACGGTTTTCTCTTTGCAATCAAGAAGTAGCCTGCCATTCCTCTTGCTTTTGAGTAGAAATGCCAACGGTCGATTTCTAGCTCGAGTGTTTGAATAAAACTCAATAAACAGAGTCTGATGGACAAAATCAACGGAATCTTTCAATCACCCCTTCTTATGTTCGTGAAAGGTACATATAGGTATGGAAATGGCATCAAGCTAATTCAGCTACTTTCACTCAAATGTGTTACTCGCAAGGCAATTTCAGAGAAGGCTGTTAATTCGTCATTGAAATTCATTACTTTTAACATTAATTCATACTAATTCATATCCAATTCCCTCTACCATCGGGCCGTAAATGTACACTGCGCGGGAGTCTTGGGCTAGGCTCGACATAACTAATCCCTTCCTCCCGATAGCAATTGATTAGACTTGGTGGGTATGTGCTCTTCGTGGTCCTATTGCTGATACTTCTCCTTGGTCGCCGGGGCGGAATGGGAGGCATAGGCAGAGGCAGACTCGGCAGACTCTTATTACTGTTGCAGTATATCCTCCTACTGGTTCGTTGAGTCGGCAAGCTCTTGGAGCTAGTATTGCCGGTCTGAAAGCTCTTGTTGCTATGGCTGAACTTGCTCTTGTTACAATCGCCTTGTTTGTAAAAGTTTCTCTTGTTCTTTGGAGTTTTCCTGTAAGCGCGATCCCACAGGTTGGTTCCTCGTTTCGACACGACGAGAAAGAAGATTCCTAGGCAGATAAGGACTCCCCAGCCGACTACAAGTGGCCTTAGGAAATCCAAAACAGCGGGATCTTCGAGATTCACATATGTGGTGACCCCGAAGTAGGCTATGTCGAATGCGTGACGGAATAACGAGAGCCCCAATACCGTAGCTAGAAGATTGAATATCTGGAAGAAAGCGTTAGAGCGAGAAGTAATTTTAGATACAACAGAAATTCTACCTTATTAAGCTCGGTATGGCTCGTTCTCAACAGACAGCCAGTGGACCCCAGACAGAAACCGAAGAGCAGAATAGATAGCACGAGATCAAAGAGTCCCTTGATATCGACTGAAATGTTGTTGTACTGGGATATGATGAATCGAATGATGCTCAATATTCCGATGACGACCAGCATAGCGGTTGCTCCTATACGTGGATATCGAGGATTCAAGAAGCCAGATTGCTCGCCAAGGGCCAAGACGAGCTCGAGATGTGCGTACAGCGTGGTTGCCAATGCGGGAGGCCCGAACATATTCTTCGCAGCTTCGACTTGTCGTTGAATCGTCAATAGATTTTCGGCTGCTTTCCCGCTGATCCGACCGACTTGGAGCGTCATGCAGCTTTCCATCAACCAAAGGACGAACCATCTGTCAGGGATATGCATCAGTACACATCAATAAAATGGTAGAGATGAGGAATATTAGCCTACATTGTGACGATTGCCGAGGCACCTTTAATCCACGGGATAGGAGCACGAGACTTGGCGCCTCTCTGGTGCAATTTGACGAAGAAGAGGACAGCGAGAGGAGTACTTCCAGCCAGTGCAATAGCAATGAACCCGATATTGAGGTAGCCAAGCAGAGCGTACCCCAGTGATTCTTCCGCCATTGCGAGTCTCTGAATCAATGGGAACCAACCGCCAGGAAACGAGTGGATGGCGAGCAGCTCACGTCTCTAGGTTTGTTAAGAGACGCAAGGAATATCTAGTCTTTTCTGCAACGACGAGGTCTCCCAATCCGGATTATATCTTAGATAAGTATTAACAGGGGAGCTTGCAGGTCACCGCCAGTAGGCTCGACGCCGAAACATGAAGACGCATACGAGCGAGCTCACACATCTCGTGGTAAACGACATGACGGAGATAAAGTGGAAGACGCAGGGGTTCGCCACCTGAAACCATCCCACAACCCCCAACCAGAGTCGAGTCACCTGCATACAGAGGATACCTACAGTAGCATTCTGACTGGGAGGGTGTTCAAAAATAGGCGCCCTCTAGGATGGTGGGTTACCTCGCCAGGCACGTTTTCGTCCCTTCTTATAAGTCTACCCAATCATGCCCGTGCAGCCCCCGACCGCTTCCTCGCCCCCTTGTCCTCGAGAGCATCTGAATGATTTCCAGGCCCAAGCTTCGCGCTATGACATGATCGATCCTTTCCCGCTGCTGCCATGCCATGGTCCTTGCCCTGTTTTCCCCTGACTCCCACGCGGCGCCTAGGCCATGCCATGGACCACGGCAGGGAGCACGGACTTTTGATATGTAGGTATGCAAGCTCTTTTGCTCTTGGCTAGCAGAAGATGGAGGATCCTAAGTCCGATTGACCCATTTGGATTCGTGCAGTCAACGGGTCGTGCTCGATCCTCCAAGGAGCGGCGCGGCAAAGAAGCGTCCTCCTCGCCTCGTATTTAGATGCACTTTCAGTTTTTCTACACTACGACTGCATACACGCAAGGCTATCCCGAGGGATCGAGGGTCGGCAGCAGCACGGCCTCCCGTGGGAAGCAGTAAGGCGATCAGGCCCCCAATGTTCATCTGCAATCGATCGTCCGTCAGCATTCTACCGCCACTGACAAGAATGCCGCCCACTGCGCCTCGGGGCCGGAGTCCTTTGGAGCCCAAAAGGAAACGGTGCTTGGCGAATAATCCCTCTGCGACCCTTCTGGGCTGTTCACGTTGCCACTGTGGGCTTTAAACCACTATCAACGACGGAATGCTACGTCGGCTTTTAATGGCTCGTGTGCCTCTGGTTGCTATGCCGCTGCCATCCCCTGACCCGTGCTTCCTCCGCCTGATTACCAATATCTGATTTGTGGGATGTTTTGCACTCGGTTGTCCATCTTGAGCTGCCGAATCGAGAACAATCAAAGTGGTGGCTGGCCCTATGAAGGTATATATATTCTTCAATTGGCAATGCCCGTCTTTGCGACAAAAATAGCTCCTTTTCAATATCTCCATCTATATGTAGCTCAGATTCTATGTTTGACATTTTTTCAACCACTGTTGCTTCTACAGAGAAAAATCACATTGAGCCATGCCTGAATGCTCGTTCAAAGACATACCACGGCACCTCATCTGGCACTTAAGAATCGTCATTTCGCCCCCTCAGACCAACGATTCATGCCGTAGAAAGATGTGATTGAGGATTCCGCGCGGTAAATCTCGATGGTGCGCAGAATTCCTTCGGCAGAATGCATCCTCCATTGAGCGGCGCAGAATGCAATCGCCTCCCCTGCGTCGCCTTGCCCCCTGCATGTGCAGAAAGGCATACTCGGACTTCGTGAACCACTCAGCCCCCTCGTATTCTCGGGTGTTTCATACTTATGACTTTCCAATACTACAGCCTAATGCCATGCCTTAGCAGAACATATTGATCTTCTATGTGATAAACCTGCTTTCGGTGGAGGATTCGACGCAGCACACCATCAATCAACCGCAGGAACATTGTCACCAGATAATCAGGCTTGGAAACGTAGCACCACATCAGCTTTCCACTGCACCACTGAGGCAAGTAAATCCTGAGTATCAGATAGAATATTTTATTGCATGTGCAGCCCCTGAATACGTGGATTTTACGTACACAGCGAATCATAGAGCTGTCATCACGGGTATCGGCGGCACTCATCACGAAGGTTTCTTTAAGCCAGCACTACGCATTAGGTGTAGAATTACCCGGAGTGGATAGCAACCTTAGCCACATAGCAGTATGAGGGAGAACCAACTGGAACAAAAATGCATCGTCTTTGTCTATGAATGCGGGGGACCAGGCACATCGGCTACGTTACCCTGAGTTCCCATGATCAGGTGTATGTTCAGTTCTCCGAGTCAGTTAGCCACGATATACGAGTCTGTATAAGGCTGTTTTGACTAATACATAGATCTCAGTAGACATCCGAGGCATAACCACAGTCAAGGATCTTAAAGTCCTGAAAATCTTACGGGAAACATGTTTAAGAAAATAATTACCAGTATAAAGTTGAACAGTAGCTTAAGAACAGTCGATCATTTAGGCTCCTAGTCCTACTACTAAGAGTCATCTAATCTGCTGGCTGTTTAGATCGATATTTTTGGCCCGACGAGGATAAACAGGCGCCAAAAATGGCAGCGAAGAAGCAATATTTTGCCTCAGTCAGGACCAGGGTTTTTTAGGTTATGGCAGTTAATACAAACTTACCCCAATATTGAACTGAATTACTCCCCGAAAGACTAGCATAGTAGAGTCCCCGTCCCCGTACTGAATCCGATTCATCTGGACATACCGTATGATAGAACATACTCGTGAAGATTCCCAGCGGGAATATGGCAACGAGAACAATTCTCTTATCCAATCTGACATCAAGCTTAAGCAGCATTGGAAGTGGTAGAATGGCTGCTGTGATGTCTGACACAATCGTCAACACCGCATATCCAGTAAACGAAGGGCCAAAGGCTAAGCACGAGCCTTTCATAACTTATCAGAGGGGCAACTTTGAAGAAGCAGATTCCGAGCTAATAGATCGGCCGGCAGGCATAATTGGCCCGCTTTTACAGGACAAGATCTGCTTCAGGTCGCAGTGAAAGTGTTAACTCAAGACCATACATAGTCTCTGATATGCAAATGAGTAAACAATAAGTCTTACGAATGCGGAAGCCTGAGCTAAGGTGCAAGAGGTGACTGGGGTTGAAGTCGTGATGCCTACCCTATAGCTATCCAATCTCGCAGTGATCTCCATATCACTGACAAGATGATATATTTATATTACTAAAGAACATGCTAAAACGCTGGGGCATGATTGAAGGCAAGAAATTCTTTTTATCAACGTTATTGAACGGCTTGTTAGGAGAGATGTAATTATCCAGAAAGAGGACATGTGCTGAGTCCTCTGACAGAATCTCAATTCTGGTGACTGGAAAGCATGAGTGCTCCCCCTTTCCTTGACTCATGATCTATGGTTTACTAGTGTCACCTCGAAGGATAACCTACGAGGGTCGATTGTATAATATTTTCAGTTCACCCTGTTCTCCCTCATCTGCTGTGAGTGCTTGGTGGTAGTATACTTAGACCAGCATCCCATGGCCAAGGCCTTTGTTATTCCCCACCGGTCATTTCATATCCCAGCAGATCGATCGCTAAACTCGGGCCGTAGACCGGCCCGTACTGCCATTTATTATTTTCCCGCACTAATCTACAAGCCGGTTATCGGTCGTTTCAACAAGCCTGGATCCAAGATATTCTCTGGTGTTATCAAAAGTTCCATAAGTAATGGCGCCATCTATTGGAATGTCAGTGAGTAAAGTAGAGCTGTACCTACTGTTATTTTATTTCCCAATTTCTCGCTTTCTTCAAGCAAGCGTGGCCAACAGTACGCGAGATTGAGCCAGTTGCCTCGTATCACTGCATTCCAGCCCCTCTAAACTCAAGTGTTCAAATTAGAGTGAGACATTGATACTGTATACATCAGTACCTGTACCATTCCGCGTGGCTCCGAGATTTAGCTCGCCTCCCTTTGCTCAGACAAGTCAACACCATCATGGAGGATGAACCCATTCTCATCATTGGCGCCGGCATCTGCGGCCTTGTCCTAGCGCAGTACTTACGCAAGGAGAAGATATGCTTCCGAATTTTTGAACGGGATAATGACTTGGCTACCCGCGGAGTAGGCTGGGGCTTGACCCTCAATTGGTCACTCCCTGCCCTTCGCTCACTCCTACCGGAGGATCTGGTCCTCAGGCTGCCCGAGACCTATGTCGACCGTGCCTCCGTCCAGGCTGGCGCTATCTCGACCTTCCCTTTTTTCGATTTGAGTACGGGCGAGCGCAAGTTCCAAACTCCCAAGGCTCCGGAATCCCAGCGCATCTGGGTGACGCGTCAGAAGCTGAGAGTGCTCCTTGCCACAGGCATCGACATCGAAGTGAGCTGAAGAACAATGTCTCCCTTGATCCCATTACGTATAGCCACACACCCGACCTTGAGTTCCTCTGAATGTGTGTTCAATAGTGGGGAAAGTCATTTTCCAAGTTTGATCAAGGCCGGGGTTCAGTGACGGCTGCATTTGAGGACGGGTCTACTGCCACGGGCCGCTTGCTCATCGCTTGCGACGGAGCCAACTCTCGAGCACGACGGCAGCTATTTCCAAACCAGAATGAAATGCATCGTATACCAATTTGCCTCATGGGAATGAAACTAGAGCTTAGTCACGAAAAGGCCCAACTGATACGAAATCTCGACCCGTTCTTCTTGCAAGGAACAAGCTCCGAGAACAACTCATTCATATATATTAGCTGTTCGTTTAATCCTCCGCTGGGTCAAGATTTCGTTAATGCTAATTATGCATAGTGCTTGACGCTCCCCAAAGCAAAGGCGATCTGACCGAAAATACGTCTACCAGATATGCGTCTCATGGCCCTACCACAATGGGTTCATGGACAGTGAACACCCCGTCGATATACTAAGTTCAAATGCGGAACGAATCCAGCTGTTTCAGCGAATTTCATCTACTTGGGGAGAGCCATTTCTCACTATCGCTAAGGAGGTGGCTGCTGATCAAGAGTTAAAATCTCTGGAACTGCGAGATTTTCCACCGCCTCGCGGACTTCGCACAAATGGTCGAGCTGTGCTGATGGGCGACTCATTTCACGCCATGGCTATGTGTACGTTCTGAAGAGAAGCGGAGGAGAGAGAGTTAGCTGGTTTCTAACGATTTGCAGACAGAGGAGAGGGTGCAAACCATGCCATTGTCGACGTGCTTGATTTTGTCGAGTCGGTCGGTCCCAAGTTCAGAAATGAAGATGTTGGATGTGATTCTTTAATCGAGTCTCTTAATGCATACGAACGTTCGGTCGTTGAACGCGCCCGAACTGGGGTTCTGGCGTCTCGCCAAGCATGTCTGGACGCTCATAATTGGTCACGTATTACGAGTGAGAGTCCACTCCTGACCAGGCGAGAAATGAAGTTGCAGTTCGATGAATCCAATTTGTCGGATGTATTGTATCAGGGGGGGAAGCAATGTTTAGTACCGCCCATGTCGCCCTATGGTGTCTTCTCCCGCACAGATATAGGGGGAGTAAAGATAGAAACAAGCCCAATCTGAGATGTCTTGTGTAAGTCAGGGATCATTCATTGTGTTGAGATGGCGGGTCTGCCATCTTCTGTTGTTGTTTGTTATCTTGGAACTCTCTTCCGTTAGCCGGGGATCGTTGATGAATGATGGCTTGGTTAAACCCGTCATAGAAGTCGAGTAGTCAAAGCCATAGATCAGCATTAATATATAAGCCAATAAGTGTATCATCTGCTAATGAAAGCTTCTGATCCCGCGAACCGGCTGTTTGATCATGGCTTAGGCCTGAGAGCTAACGAAAAGTCTATTTAGATATAACTACAGAGGGCCTATTCATACTATTATAAACCTTGGTATCATGCCAAAACACAGACCGTTAAAGATCCGATAGAGGCCAGATGAGGCAAAATAGCCTCGACCCTATATTTGAAACCACTCCCATGGGAGGGCAGTAGATAAGTTTGTCTCTCTCACGAGGGTCCGTTTCGGCGGAACAGATTTCTCATCCATTGCAAGCTCGATGACCATAAACCTGAGCCAGGTTCGGCGTGCTGTAAAATGTTAGGAGGATACCCATCTGGCCGGCTAAGTTCGACGATGTTGCACAACGATTCCGTGTCCGCAATGTCTAACTTTATCAAGCCCCATGGTGTATAGAGGGAAGAAACACCGGACCCAACCTGCCAGCTGAACGGTTGCCAAAAACTCGTTTTAAAAAGATTCTTGACAATAACCAACCTCTCTTCGGCGCTAAACGCTTGGAGAGGCTTGTTATAGTACCTTAGGAGGGTTCTAACAGCAATCAATTGGATATATTCGTGATCATTCAGTCGAGCGAGGAGTGCTTGCTGGACTTTGGGTTCACTGGCTTGGCTGCTAAGCGCGTTGGCGGCGGTCAATCGCACATATGTGTCTTCGTCGCTCAGTCGGGTCAGGAGAGCCTCCTGTACCTCAGACTCATCAGCCCGATCGCCGAGCGCTTGGGTAACACATTGTCTTACATCAGTGTTTTGATCACTCACTTGGGCTAGCAATGCCTGTTGAACTTTGGGATCGCCAGTTTGGCTCCCGAGTGCGAAAGCAGCAGCCGATCGGACACGAGGTTCTTTGTCGCCAAGAAGTCGTGCCAGGAGAGCTTTCTGGACCTTGGGCTCGCCAACCTTATCTTTGAGCGCATAAATAGCATAATATCGATTACTACCGTCTGTGCAATCTAGTTGGGCCAGGAGTGCCTGTTGAACCTCGGGCTGACCAGCCAGGCTGCGTAGAGCTACGGCAGCAAGTCCACGATCATCATTGGCCTTCTCACTTAACCCGAGCATAAGTACCTGCCAAATTCTAGAATCACTGACGTGGCTGCTCAGCGCGATAGCGGCAGCACCTCTAACGATGGACTCTTCATCACCAAGCCGGGCTTGGAGTGCTCGTTGAATTTCAATGTCGCCCGCTTGGCTAGTCAGTGCAGAAGCAGCATTTTTTCGCACTCGGGCGGTTCTATCACTTAACCGGGCTAGAAGTGCCTTCTTGACTGTGGGCTCGCTAGCTTGGTAGCTTAGAGTGTTGATAGAGGCGCATTGGATATCCGGGTCTTTGTCATCTAAACGGGCTAAGAGCTCTCCCTGGACTTCTGACTCGCTGGCGTGTTTGCCCAGTATACGAGCAACTATCGACTGCCTTTGAAGATCTTTAGATTCTAGGTTGCCTAGGAGTTCCCGTTGGACGGAACTGGATAGAGTTACCCTTGAACCAAGGGCTAAAAGGAGTGTCGTGTCCACAAGCGATCCGGTTTGTCGTAGGACATCAAGAATGACATAGTCGGGGATCTCCATCTCCATAGCAAAGGATGAGACATTGTTAAATTCAAGCTCAAAAACAAGCCATTCTTTCAATCTTCTTTCCAGGTCACGTCTCGACGCTAGACTTTCAGAGACCTCGCTCAGGCAGCGCATAACGAGTCGTTGATGCGCTGGTCCTGACAGATCCCGTGAATGATATTCTTCTATCGCCTGGAAAAATTTTGCTACCTCATCGCCGTTCTGTTCGTTATCTAGCAGCCCGGCAACAAAGCGCCAGAAGATGTCGTATCTTGGGTTATACTTGTGTTGAGCAAGGAAACCAGATATTGTCTCTTGTTTCTTGCCTTTTCCATGTTTTAGGTCCAAGTAGAACACGAAATCGTCAGATTGTGATATCCACTGGCGCACAAAATAGCTTGCAGCAAAGAATTCCTGGAAAGTGAGATGCAGGAAGTGGTAGTTGACATCTGCACCCTTCTTATGTGGATCTGACGTTCGTAAAAATGAAAGATGTCGGATGGATTGATCAGGCAGTATCCTCTCACTTTCGCTTTCGAAGACCTTTAAGATATCATGGCGCGTCTTCGGCTCGAACTCGATGATATCGTTCACCATGCCAGTAAATGCGAGCTTTTCAAGCAATTCTATCTCATCTTTGAAGCAATCCTCCAGCTGCAAAGCCCCCATATCACTTGCAACAGATGCTTTCCGCTTCCCTAGACGGACGCTATCCTTGATCATCAATTGTTGTTGGACGTATTGGTAGAAGTTCGTCATACTTTGCAATGTAGGGTTATTACCCGCGTTGTCACTCCAAATATAGCATAAAGCATCGAGAAGGATTGGAATCCGAGCAAGGCCCTGAACAATCGCGAATCTCTTGAGAAAAATTTGTATCTCTTTTATATCCTTTGAGTTTGGTAGCGCCATTTCCAGATATTCGTCAACCTGTTTGGGTTGAAATCCTACAGTCTCGAGTTCAAGATCAGTAGGATTACCAACGTCGAAGGGCAATTGAGCATGAGGCCGGGATGTAATAATGACATTAGGTTGGTCGAGCAGCTTAGCCAGCAACTCGTGCATCGGTTCATCAATGTTCCATGTCTCAGTGACTTCGTCGAGGCCATCCAGAATAAACAAGGTCCTGCTTCCAGGACGCGATCCCGGTCCAACTTGGACCTCCGCTCGGAGACGCTCAGCTAAAATATGGCCAAAGCGAGGATCGTCTCGAAAGTAATGGTAGTGAAACAAGTCCACCAGTGTGAGGCTATCGCGTGACCAAGTCTTGAGAGTTCGTAGTGGTACCCATAACACCCTGTCAAAAAGATCATTCCACAGGGTTCCTCGGTTGAATTCGAAAACAATCTTCTTACAGAGCGTGGTCTTTCCAACACCAGCGCGCCCTCTAATCAAGACTCTTCTCGGCGCTTTCATGAGGCCTCGAGAAGTGCGACGTGAGTCGAACATTTTGGCCAAATCTAAACCGTGATCTGCGTCTCTGCCATCCACCTGGAGTCGGCTGAAGATATTGAAAGGCGAAGCTTCTTTGTTGCCAGGTGCTGTATTGTCCTCTGACATGTGTCTGACTACAGCTAGGTTTATGTAGCAGCTCTTCATATCTAGGTTCTCTCCAGATAATCTTTGAATCCGAAGCCTTTCGTTGCTATAATGATGATTGCTCAGGTATTCGTCTACCTGGACGATTGAGATATTTTGTTTTTCGCGCGCGTATATAGATTCATGAAGCTCGAACATCGCTTTGTCTTTTCCGCAACCGTACATTAACGGCAAATACGCGTCAACAATGCCCAGTAAGGCGTAGGCTTGATCCTCGGGTCGTGCGGTGTCCCGGCCATTCATCCAAGCACATCGATCGTGTGCCGAAAACTTCGATAATGGGCAGCTACCACGAAGAGCTTCGAGAGGGATCTTGGTGATGTCATGGATCAGCTGTCCAAGAGACTCTTTATCGCCGATATATTCGTTTCTTTGAGAAAAGAATTTAACCTTTTCAGGTGCAAGAAGCTCCTGAAGTGTCCAACCGCGAGTGAACCATTTGCACTTGCGGAACGCGAGTTCCCAGCCTGGCTGAGCCTGATTCTGGGAGACATCCGAAAGGTAAACGTAGCAAGTCTCTGAGTCCTGATACCACTTGAACATGGAGTTGAGGGATTCACTGAGCTCGGCGCTGCTGGATTTGTCGATACAGCAGGTGTCTATCCAAAAGTATTCCAGGCCATCTCGCTGCGCTTGCTGCCCGCAGAACCGAAGCTTCTCATACCCGACTTTTTTCTTGTCGGCTTTAACAATCATATCTTCAAAAGTGACTTCTGTGTTCTTTGGGCCCCAAGTGTGTGATAGTATCGCATATGGAGGGATTTCTTCTGGAGCGTCAACAAGACAGACATCTCCGCCATTCCATTTGAGGAGCCGCATGGTGTCATTCGAGGGTGAGGCGTCCAGCGTCTAGCGTCTTCGATCTCCAGCTAAAACCTAGCAACGTTTAGCATCCAGAATTTATCGTCAGGTCTCGCGCTGATTGTGTGGTGTCACGGCACTCGGTGATGAGAGATGAGATGAGAGAAATGGGATTGAGGCAGATGCAGCTCGCTGAATGTCGATGCAGTCTCACGTGATCAACCAATCTGCCTTACCTGTCTGCCTGCTGACCACGGTTCTCCAGCCTTGAATAGATCAGCGACTCTGTAGCACCTGTATCTGTATTTTAGAGCGTTTATATGATGTATATTAAGTTAAAGCCGGCGGTCTTTGTTTAATGCTTTACGCGACAGTAGGATAAACCAAGAAGCGTCAACCATATGTAGTTCAAAAGGGAACTTGAACATAGAGAGAAATCCTGGGATAAATGCCAATCCAGATTGCAAATGTTGCAATTCTCATACTAATTTGATAAAAGAGATACTGCCAAAATGACGACGTGCCATTGAGGAACATTCACAGCACTCAAGAATTACTTTTGGGAACTTATGAGGCGCTATAAAGAAGTAACCATGGATGAAAATATTCGTTTAATGACGACTTGTATTTAATAATAATATATAGAAATCCAACAATAAAGCCCCATTCACCGATAATAATACAAAAAGACAAAGCAGCTTTGCTCGAATCAAGTCTTCTTCAACCTTTGCTCCCTCTTCTTCCTATCTGCCGTATTCTTCCGCGTACGACACTGAAGGCAAGTTCGCAACAAGTGACCCTCCCGACGTGGGTCCGCGAACCGGTCGACCGCTTGGGTCTTGCTGCAGCCAGAGCAGCATGCGTGGCCAGGCTGGACGGCTGGCGTCGGAGATGCACGCAAGGAAGAAGACTTGCTCTCCTTGGAACCCGACCTGGGCCGCTTGAGGGGACGCTCCTCCGGCTGTCGACCTTCCTCGATACAGCGGGAGCATCTCCGCGAAGATCTAGACCCTACCGTGGGAAAGTCTTCGACCGGTCGCTGAGCTCTGCAAATAATGCAGGGCTTTTCAGACTGGGACCCATCGCTGCTCTGGTCCCTCTTTGGTTCCTGAAAAGCCATGTTAGTTGATTTGTAATTAGAGATTGAGTTTGAAATAAGACTTACATGGAAGGCCCTCGTGCGTGTCCGGCACTTGTCGCATGCCTTATAGCGCGTCTGCTCGGTTGGGATGTCGCCATCATCCCGAGAGAACTTCATTGCCGGCTGGTGCTTGCGACAGCACGAACAACGGAAGGTCTGGTCGGAATTCAACCCGACAGCAGGAGCGACGGCCGCGGCAGGACTCACATTTGTACCCAATTCCTCATCTAAACCACAGAATAATTGGCCCCAATCCACATCCCGACCCGGTGGAGGGACATCTTGATCCCCGACAGCATTGCCGCTCAGGGGATCTAGATTATCCAAGTTAAATTGACAGGGGGAAAGGTCAGAAGGCGTGCTTTGGGTGGAGGTAAAGGACTCTTGAGAGCCAGGTAACCCCTCGGAAGATGCCTCTCGAGATGATTGGAGGTTGTCTAAAGAGGGGCCAGCAAGTTGGTGAGAGAAGTGGTCTTGGGGAGGGAGGTGGGACACGAGGGTGTCGATGTCTGGAAGGTGGGGGAGGAAAGGATGAAAGGCGCTTTGGAGGACTGGTGTAGGTAGCCCCATGTTATTCTGGGGTAAAGTTTCACTTGGGAGGAAACTACTAGGTTGGACCATGGGCATAATGCCGGGCTGGGGGTAGTCATGTCCCTCCCAAGTCCCGGAAGGCTGGGTGGCCATGTTTGTTTGATTGAAGCCGCTTTGTTGGGCTTGAAATCCCGGGTGGGAGTGATGGGATGAAGTCACTCCAGTGGGATCATAATACCACCCACCTTGGGCTTGGCGGGTAGCTTGCCGTGAGTGTCTGCCGTAATGATCCATTGCTTGAAAGAGGATTCGTTAGCATTAGAGGCGTAGGCAAATGTCAGGTAATGGCGAGGGGGGGAGTTACTTGATATTTCCAAAGAACTCTTATGTTTCTTTGTGATTGTGTGCAAGTTAGTTAGGGCTCTGGATGTTGGGCTATGGTCTTCACAACGAAGGGTAATCGTTCAATCACGAAGAAAAAGAAAGTCTTGTGACGGAGGAAGAGAAACAAGGGCACAGATGGTAAGTATGACTTGGATGAAAGAAAGGAAGCAGGACCAGGGGAGAAACAGAGGCTCAAGTAGGAATCGAATTCAGCAACTGGGAGAAATCTCTTCAATTTCCTCCTTCCATTGCTTTCTGTTGCTAGAAATTTACTTTTGAGCGTGGCTCCTACACTTCAGGCTGGCGTAGTCGAAGGCGAAATATCGTCACATTTTTTCAAGTTCCAATGGTACCTATGGGTCATTGCCGGGAGTATGTAGTTTGGCTTTGAAGAATTTGACTCTTAGACGAATCCAGGCCAACCTGCCACCGAAAACTCTGCCATCAGGCCTAGCCTCCATCATCGCCAGAAAAAGCACGGGCATCAAGCGTATAGCGCGAACTCTCTGTCTTGCCACCAGCTTCGTTGTTGATTCCACCTTCCCCCCCACGGGGAGCCGAGATATCTGTCAACGTGGAACAGCGGACATCAACGGCCCTCGTTTCGTCTGTCCTCTCAAATTTCCAACACAGAATTTTGACAGCTTTCTGCGTTCGTAGAGGACGAAGAACATGGGAGATCCTTGGACGACGACTTCCATCGACTACACTCTCGATTAGCAAAATGTGAGTGGCAACTAGGACAAGTCCAGTCATGACTGAAAAAGCTTGACGGAGGTTCCGAGAGAGATGGGGCTGGAAGCAACAAACCAGCTCGATTGTGCTCATGAGGCTATGGCAAATTCTCTTGTAAACCTACGCAAGGGGGTGTCTTGGCTGTCCTTGACGCAGCTCCCCGCAGTCATCCTGGGGAACTACCGGCCGTCTGGGGGTGTGGAGGTCTGTGCGTTAGAATTCAGTTAGGCCCAGGCAGTGCTGTTGCCCGTTCCCGTGGGTTTATGCGGGGGGTGTTACGCTAATGTTGTCTGGAAAGTTTGTTTCGACTTCGACTCGAAGGTCGGCGAAGGTAGGAGGGAGCAACACTGACTCACTGTGTAAGTTTAGCCCAGTTATTGTTTTCTCCCAGCTTCTAGTGTACACGCCCAGTCCTGCTCTTGATCATATGACGGCCCAAAAACTCGCAAAGAATTCATTGTCACGAGATAATCAAAGAGTGAACGCATGGCACGAGGCATCAATTCCACCGCCACAGTGACGGAGCAATCTTTCAACACGCGTGGAGCATCTCGCCCAGACTCTCATATAATTTCAAAGTGGCAAGAGAGGACTTCTGTGTGGATCGGGTGTATCTACGAACCTTCTATTTTTCAAATATGGAACGTGATCGAAGAGTGACTACTACCCCATGGGGTGACGGGCACGCCGTCCTCCAACAATTCTGTTGCCTTGAACTCACCCAATTCGATTTTTTCAAGGCAGTGGAGGCCAAAGTTAAATTTACGTGCAAGAGAAAGGCGAATGGCAGAATTCTCACCTTGATACAATCAGCTGAGTGACTGTCGCTGTTTCTTTACGGAAAAGTTGCGGTGCCGTGGATATTGCTCGTTTGTCAATTGATCTTTAAAGAAATGCGATTAGGTTTTAGATTCTATAGAAATTGATATCTGTCACTCAATTCTATTAGAGAGCGGAGAACAAGCCCGATCCCCAACAGTCTCCTGAACATATGGTGCCCTTCCAGGCTACCACACCAGCCATTGTGATACTCGCTACTCTGAAGGGCGAGGCCAAGATATGCACGATAAGTTTTTTCTCCCTTGAGCTGCTGCCTACATGCGAGAGAGCCTACATTAGTCGCCCCTTCGAAGATACAGTCAAGATGACACCCCTGTGTAGGTTCACGAAAGAGTTCAAGGCAACACACAGATGCATGCAGACAGACTCATCCATACTTAGCTTTCATTCTTACATTTGGTTTCCCAAAGAAACTTTAGATGGCACATAAGATGCATGAGGCGTTGCATCAGCTCCGTTGCCACCCCGGAGAAAGAAAGAAATGGAATATAAAAAAGGGGGAGGAGAGGGGGGGACGATTCACTCTCCCATCTCAAGCCCTTCTGATTCTCAGCCAGTTAGAGATGGAGTATGGCTTCCCATTTCCTCTGTAGGAATTCAACCTGCTGATGCAATTACCTGAAACAGATGCCAAGTTCTATAGCCGTAACAAAGCTTTGCAGACAGAAAGTCAGACGACAGTACTCAAGCCACCGAAATGTAGGCAAACCGTGAGTCACCAGCTGCAACTACTCACCAAGTATTTCCCCAGATTAAAAAGTTCATGACTTAATTGCACAGCCTGTTGCCCCGTGGGGACCGTCAGAATTGTAGAATCCGTTCTAGAGTCAGACTTTGAACCAGAGCTGAAAGCTTGCTTCAAGACTACACGTATTGGAACGTATATGGTTTTGGACGCAGTGGCCGTGCCTTGTTAGATCAGAACTCTCTCAAACTTACAGAATTGAGTCATTCTTTACCTTTGAATGAAAGTTTTGACGTGTGGAAAGGCACCTAATGTAGCCAGCTCCTGGCTCTTCCTCGTCGTTAAATATCGCCTGTCCTCCCCCCGCTTGTCTTCTTGTCTTCATCCCAAACATTATCCACATCACTACTCTTACTACAGACATCAATCTTCATCACTAGTCTTGTTTCAGACATCAATCAATAATAAAGGTTCGTCTCAATACCCATTTCAAGGCTTGGCCGCTGTCTCTAAGAGTCAGTCATCCAGATCTCTACACCACCTCCACACGACACTCAACACACCACATTCTTCAGACTTTATTCGTCGTGTTGAATTGTCCGGGCCCTTGGAGATTCATTGTTATCAAACTTTGTTGTCTTTCTCTTCCGTTCTTCAGACTTCCGGCTTTCAAGGTATGTCCAAGGCCCGTCCTATAACATGTACACGTCTAACTTGAGCAATTTGCGTTAGCACATCAGCAGCCATGGACGCACAAGCATTTTTCCTCCCAGCATCTGCTGGAAATTCTTTGGGGCCGGTTGTCCCTGTGGTCAACACTTATTGCAAAAAGCATTGGGGATCAAGCCCTCCCCGTGATAAACTATGCTTGGACTGCGCAGGTATGACTAGAACCCCCCCTCCCCCCACCCCCCTATCAACGTTCCAAGCTAACCCTTGTGCTTTTGGTCGAATAGCATTTGCTCTCTGTGCCCTGGAAGGCTGGCCTCCTGCGGAGGCAGTAGCCAAGGTACAGGAGATGGCTGTGGGAGCCTCGCAGCCCCTGTTCAGGGGACCGAGCTCCGGGTTGACCAATCAGCCCCTCCCAGGAATGCCTTCCTGGGACAACGAGCAACTTCTCCCGGCTCTCAATGGCCCCCAGATCTCTCCTCAAATGGGGGTCTGTGGGAGACAGCCTGTGCCGGAGAGTGGGTTTGTGGTTAAGACTCCGTCCCTAAGTAATGGGAGTGAGTCTTCGCCTAAGACTCCACCTTCAAGCCGTGCCAGCTCTGATGAACCAGAGCTTAAGAAATGCTCGTGCTGCGGCAAGTGGTTAACCAAGCCACATTTCCTGAAGGCGGGAGGGAAATTGGCCGCCACATGCGAGCATTGCCGCTCGACCAGGCGGCCGTACTACGTAAGTTTTGCCACCCCTCACCTCAGCAACACAGCAGCTAACAATAAGCAGAAGAAGAAGGTTGGCCTTGACACGCAGCGGTGCACGGCTTGTCAAAAAGAATGTCCCATCGAGGACTTTGACAAGACGGCCCGTGAGCGGCGCAAGTGCATCCGCTGCCGTGAGCAGGGTCGTCTCGTGTCTCCTGCTCAGGACCTGAGCCCACGTGGCCCGAGCAAGGTCTCGCAGATGCCGGAGGAACGGGGCAAGAAAATATGCTCCGGGTGCAAGAAGTCTCAGGATAAGAAGGACTTCTTCAATTACGATTACGGGACTCCTCGTGAGCGCAGCACGTGCTTGTTCTGTCGTAAGCGGAAGCAAGCGGCAGACCGGAAGAAGAGGGAGAGACGTCAGGCACAGCAGTAGTAAGAAAAGATAGACATGTGGGAGGAAAAGGAGGAAAGCGGGAGTTGGGATACGGCTAGTTTGTTCTTGTTGTTTTCGTGCTTTAGTGTTATAGTATTTTAGGTCGTTCATGATTGAATTACAGTGCCAAGGGTGCCTGGTCATTTCCTATGAATGTGAAGTTTGACATACGCAATGCCTAGATCTGAGGGGGTTCATCAATTTAGTCTATTGCCAAGCGCCATGCTGCTCTGGCTTTCCCTGTATCCATATACGGTTATTCTCCTTGTTATAGAGTGGCTTCAGTTTTCCCACTGTCTCCAAATTTCATCTTTTCCACCACTGAATCTTTAATTTTACCCAGTGCTGGAGCAATTCCGTTCCTAGAGCTTATAAGGATTCCTGAAGTTGAACAAAGCCAACCTTATCTGTACGGAGCACCGCAAATTCACCGTTGCTCCATCGTCAAATGGAGTCGTTCTACGACAAACGCTTTAATTTAAAATAATGCTGCTATCATGCTATTTGGGACCCAAAGGTCTACGCTGGGACAGGGTCTGTGTTGCTTGCTCAGACTGTCCTCCATGACCTGAGGCAATTCGATGACTTGTTATCTTTGGCCATGGCAAAACGCGCAGTATAATGGATATCAGGGGGTTGAACTCTCGACTGCTTTACACAATGGTCCGAGAGCTTTGGCACAAGATTTGCAGATATATCAGCTTAGAAATTGCAATGGTACGCGTAAGTGCCCCTTTATCTTAATGCGGCGCGGCGAAAGGGGGAAAGAGTACCTAAATATAGCCAAGATGGTAGTATTCGTGTCTTGAAATTATAGAAATATACAAGGTCTTGTCGTACCGTGTTGCGTTTCCTAGTGTTAGATGCAGAGATACAAGATGCCTCTTTTCCGAGGCTGCATACACCCTCCTCTTGCTTCTAGTCTAGCTCCTCCTTGGCGGCAAGGGTGGGATACTGAGAACAATCAAAAACGTATGACAAAACCTCCATGGAAGGTAAGGCAGATTAAGTGACCGTATTCCTCATGAGAGCGAATGAGCTCTGTTGTGGAGAAATTCCCACACGACTAAATCAGCCTGAGATTCTGCCTCCTCACACTGTACAGGCGCGGGGACCTACCCCAAAAATCCTGCCCTGTAAGCAATCCTTCGATGCTACTCATGATTATGAAATGCTATAACCAATGCGTCGTTGAAACATTGCATCTTGCTCTGTGGTAGGCATACATGACCTTGTTCTATCCTAAACGCCCGTAGGCATCACGTAGAAGAAAGCTCGCCGCTTCAATTTGTATTGATATAAACCATTTCTCAGCGATGGTAGCTAATGTGCCTGTGCCACAATCAGCAACAAGCGAATTGATCGTATTTCAAAGTTGTGATGGGATACACCCTCCAAATGGCAGATTTGAACTTTCAGTCACTTGTGGATGACCCTAGCCTAATCTTTCTCAACATGAGGGGTAATTATGACATGAAACTATTTGTGAAGCTACCAATGGCTCAATGAAGAGGACATTCTCTGCCCGTGGGATAGTATTGGTCGTAGGGCTGGCAAATAATGGCGTCCTCTTATAACTCGGCTAACCTCCTGCATCAAGCGTTGTGAGCCAAATTGCCCAATTTGGGAAGCGGGAGGCGGAAGGCGTATTCCGAAACGGCGCAGGTGTGATTATTACGAAATTAAAATACGAAAATGTCTCTACCCTCGAGGCCAGACAGCGCACAAGGTGGTATTCGGTCAGCTTTACGAACTTTAGTCATCTCAATTCGGTACAGCTGTAAGCTCAATGGACTTTGGTTGTTCTCGACCAGTGCCAAGAGGGGAGAAGTGCCTTGCACGAAATGGCGGTAACGCAGTTGAGTGAACTATCATCGTTTTCTCCCGTCTCCTGGCATTGAACCCATTGAGGTATTAACGGTGCTTGTGCATGAAGGCGAACCATCGTGAATTATCAGGAGCTGCCAAGATCAGATCAGGCAACGTTCACGGCCTGGATTGCGGCGTAGGGCATCGTGAGGATTGAGCCGCTACATCCGGCCCTGCTCGTCTGCCTAGTTTGCCTGGAGCAAAAAAAGGATATAAAGCAAAGTGTATTCCCACCAACACAGGCTTAAACTTTCTCTTCAGTATCCTCATCCTCATCGTCTACTCTTAGCTCCAATTGCTCCAACTCCGAGTCACCAATACTCAAGATGCTTGCCCGCACCGCCCTTGTCACCCTCCTCCCGGCTGCTGTCAGCGCCCTGAGGGACGTCGTTGCTACATCCCGTGGTAGCGGGTGCGAAGTGTGGCCAAACTACGACGCAGCTACGGGAGTAGCAGGTCCCTGGCTCATCCAGCTCTCCGAAGCAGAGAACACGGCCATTGATGGATTCAGCGATACCAACCGCTACTCCATCGGCTATAATAACGGCAAGCCGACGATCCGGTGGGGCAGTGTAAGCTTTTCTCTCGACTTTGCTATTCAATAGTTTCTAACTCTTGTGAACCAGATTACTATTCCTACCCGCAACGACATCGCCAAGACCGCTCTTCGGTGTTCTGATGGTGCCCTCCAAGCTTGGACGTCCACAGACCTAACTCCAGCAGGTGCTCCTACTGCTGTCGCCTGGACACCGATCGTTATCAGCTCCTACCCGTATGATGCCGCGCTTATGTATAAGATCGAGGGCTCTGTCCCCCAGCTCTACTCCCACAAGGATGCTACAACAGGCGAGGAGATCCCAGGCTATTTTCTAGGTGGCGCCGACGGTGCGACAGCCTGGGGTGTCAAGTACTATCCTGCCGACCAGGGCTCAAGTGGCCAAGACTACTACTACCTGCGTCTCCTAGGACCTGGCAGCGAGGACCCTAGCACTGGAGAGCCCCTGAAGGAGGGTGAGACGAAGACCTATCTCAAGGTCGCCGTTTGATTGCTTGAAAGGGTACCAATCCACCAGCAGGGGAGAAACAGTATTCCTTGTTAAATATACCCAGCTGAGAGCCGATGGCCTATATCTATCCCTTGTACCATTGTTATAAAGAGTCCAGAGTCAAATCAGCTGGTTGTACGCGAGTTAGGCGAGGGTACTATATAGCCTAGCTAGTAGGAATATAATCAGCTAGTGGACTCGATAAAAACAAGCTTGAACTTCATCATGTTTTTGTAACGAACCAAGTCAAATTAGCAACTTTCCACATAGTCAGCTGAAGAGCGCATAATCTAGACCCTAGTTCGGCCAGAAATTGTCAGTCCGGTCCACCAGCGAACTATTGCACAATTCACTAATAGAACTGTTCGGTTTCGCTTCTGATTTATTGGAAAGCTCTCTGTGTTTTCCGGAGCATGATCATTAAGCAAAGCTGAAAAGGAAAAGGTGTTATCCGACCCCTTTAGGAATTAGGCGCAGCTTCCAGGTTTACCTATGTAAAACAGTAGGTTCCTGTATATATCAACAATTATTAGCTACTGGATTTCGAAATAATTGACGAGCGTTTCTGAGTATTGTAAGGAAGATGTTTCGTAGTATAGCGAGGAAGTATGACTCATACGTATATATTATAAACCTCACAAATACAATTAACAGCCACAGCCTCCAGCAGCCTCAAGCACGTAATTTCAATCCCATTCACCGTAGCCCTGAAAGTACAATCAATGGCTACAGCCTCAAGCAGGTAAGTTAGATCCTATACATGTAAAACTCCGGCTTCAACAGCTGTACCTACCCCTACAATGGCCTGCCAGTATCAACAATCTTGTAAGTACGTTCACCATTATTGCCATAGCTTTACGCCGTCTGTGGTCATAAGCAACTTTAATCTATGCGTGGGAGAAAACGAATGCTAAACTTTAACAATTATGAAGCTGCCAGGACCCGACCAACTCAACGCAGTGACAACTTCAATCTATTCTCTGGTAACTAGATGATACGAACTCTAACACTAAGAAGAGAAAAATGAGACCGTTCAAGAACACCAACCCCCACTCTCTCGTAGTCATTTAAGTCCTTTCCGGACGACACTTGCCTGATCAAGATGACGTAATGCGGCAATTCGCCGCTTTTTTGCGATTTGACTATCCCCCGCCCAAGAACAACAGATTTCCAAGTGCTAGTATCAGATGAGTCCCCTTGAGCATCAAGAGTTATCCTCTTGCCCAGGTCTGGCCCATCTATGGCCAAGTCGTTGGCCTCGGCAATGAGTGACCCATCCCAAGCCTTTGAGATAGTTGCCTTTTCAAATGGATTGTCTATACTCGGAAACCAAGTGACAAATCCGAAAGGTGCATCTATAAACCGAATATTTCCAGTATAGGCCATCCAAGACCACGTGGGAACTCGAGTCTCCGTGGAATATTGGATCCGCTTCAAATCTCCAGGTACTGCTGCTTGCCATAGAATTGTTCTCTCGAAGAATTTCCAGATAACACCGTATTTGGCGATAGATTTGAATGCTTGAGCGAGTCTTGTCTCTAGACCTAAAACAGCCTTGGGACGATCCATACAGTTAGTGAGGCCAAGTGCACAATATACTTGGTATAAATACTGTACGAGACGTATTCGTTCATCTCTATAATATTGAAGACCTGAATTGGGAAATTCCGCATCTCCAATAATCTGGGATTGAGGACTGTGTGCCAAAATCAGTAGCTATTTAGCTTCAAGGAAATGTTCAAGTTAAGACTTCTGGGCAATTACTTACTTGCGAAGCTGCGCTAGTGTTTCACATTGTATGCCATCGCCGCACTCCCAGTACATTTGAGTCGACGTAAAATGTATGGTCCGTCGAGATAAAGCTCTCTCTTGGAGCACCCATCCTCGAGAATTCAATACGCCTTCCTCAACATCTTTCTTGAAGTTATCGATGAATGGAGCTAAATATAGCGGGCCGGCGTCTGTTTTTACCGTGACACAAGATCGCGGCCTTCTCTGGCGCAGAAACCCCTGCATTGATGAGGAAGCAGACGTGGCTGCAATAGTGCAGTATGCCGAGCTGAACACGTACTCCATTCTGCCGGCTTCCCTCTCCCAGTCCTTGCCGTCATTTTGAATGATGCAGAGTGAATCAATCCAGAGATAGGAAATATGAAGAGCACGAGTGATCCTGATAGCATCTTGGAAGCTCTTGGGCAGCGTGGAATACGGGATGGTGTTTTTAAAGTCGGCAATGTTGATAGTATTCAATGTTACCCCATCCCCGTCAATTGGCTTTCCCCAACAATGACTCAGAGCAGTAAAAGGTTCGCTCATATTTTTTTTAGTCTCAATAAGGCGAAGCTCATTGTCAGCCACGCATATCACTCTTGTCGGCATACCATTCTGATGAGAGGCGTTTGTCTTTCGTGGGATACAGTTATGCGACGTGTCACACACAGTTATCCACGTATTGATGAGGCTATGGAAGGCGGTACTCTCCATTGCAGGAAGAACGGGGAGACCTATCTGTGTATAAGGCGGAGTATCTGAACTGTAATCTATTGATTATGAACATTGATTTTGTTGACATCGAGGACACACAATACATACCTGGATCAGAATAAAGCGAAAGAAGAGGCGGGCCTCGACGACCCAAGCGAACAGTGTGAAACTCGTCATCCCGGGCTAGAACCAATGGCCCTGATAATGGAATGTTGATCTCTGACATAGACTGACAGAGTAAGTTACAGAAAGCACAATGATTCTCTCGGTGCGCTATATCAGTAATGTCAAGTTGTATCTTTATCTCGGGCAGTTGAAAGTCGATAATTTCGCACGAAGAACAGAGTACCTGCGTCTCCGACTTTGGTTGTAAGGTTGCCCACGCGAGGTGTTTCAAAATTGTCCTCACGAACCTGTCATCAGTAACATTTTTCCAGAGATCATTGAGTTGGGTTGTATTCTACGTAATTATTAGTTGGGTGTGCTTCCTTTTTGTATGAGAAGGCGGATATACCGGCTAGAGCCACATTAGCACATTTCCAAAGACAGAAAAAGGAACTCCTTACATTCTGAGAAGGCAGTGGTTGCATGTTAGCATTACATGCAATAACAAAAGGGCTGGGAAGGCTTAGGTACATACTATATGACAAAAGAGTCAATAAAGTTGTACACCAAATGTAGCAAACGAGTTAACCAACTTGATTTGAGCGATTGGCCGGAGTGTTGAAAAGAGGCTCCGCCTCAGCTGGAGATGATGTAGCATCATTGCAAGTCTGTTTTGATACATCCTCGGCCCGATTCTGTATATCTTTCAGACCTTGCAAGAAGCCATCACTGTCGCGCTTTTCTTTGTCAATAACGAGGAGATGACTAGCAATGAGATCAGCTAATTCCGAAACTAGTTGATCATGGGGTCCAGCTTCCTTCAGGTCCTTAGTAATCCACCTAGCAACGGTTGGATGGAGTTTCGCGCTATTCGTAGTTTCCTGCCAGAATTTCCACCCTCTTGATTGCTTCCAGAATCTCCCCTCTCCTCCAGCTGATGAGATGGCTGTCGAAAACTTTTGTACATGCGAATTGCCGAAGCGAATCCAAATCAGAAATTCCAAAAAAATGCAGCCCAATGACCAGAGATCGTATTTCCGAGACACTGGTTTCTCTTTATCTATAGTCAACTCCGGAGGTTCGTAGCAAATCGTTCTAGAGTTGGTTGTGGTTCGTTCTTGGCGATTCACGGTGTAGTCTTCGTGGAATTTAGCGAGTCCAACATCTGCAATCACGAGCGGTCCAGAGAAGCGATGTCCTTCGATGTCCTCTGGGAAGAAAAGAATATTTTCAGGTTTGAGGTCTCCATGACGGACTTTTTCCTTATGCAGTGCCGAGATTCCCTCAGTAAGTCCCACCATCTGCTCCAAAGCCCAGGAAACCACGTTCCCCTCCGTGCTATTGCTTTCCTGAGCCCAGATTTGCCTGAGATTGCCGCCTCGAGCCCACGGAAACAGAAAATATTTATCTGGTCCTTTTTTGTAGGCAGATATGGCCTTAATAAGATGGTCATGTTTAAGTTCAGCCATTTTCTGAAGCGTGGTCCGTTCTTTGTCGTAAAATTTATCCACATTTGTAAATAGGTTGGCGTTGGCGTGGAGAGTCTTTACGGCGACTATGAAGTCATTTTCAGGGTCATTCTATTAAGTCGAAGATGTATTAGTGAAATGTAAACCAATCCTGCGCCACGGAGCAACTCACGCAATAAGGACTTTGACCGTTGCGATGGTCTTTGTGTAAGACAACCTTGCGCACTATGCTAAAGCCACCACGAAACGGGGTCATCAGCCCTTGAGGATCAATGTAGGGAAATATTTGAGCATATTGGTATTCTGCGGACTGGAAGGTATCGATATCAAATTTCGGAGCTAAAAAGCTCCATTGATACTTGTCAAAGTCTGCTCGTTTCACACTCCCCACATTCAATTCCACCGAGATATCTCCTCTCAAGCTTTTTAAAATGGGGGGAGACTTCGGCAAGACCTACGCAGGTAGATGTTTGTCCTTGAACCCACTTGCTTTGAACTGACGGATGTATTCCGCTTTTGCCAGGTTCAAATAAGCGAGTATCAGAAAGACTCTTGGAGCATGTTCAAGAACATACGTCCCCAGACTATCGATATCGTTGGAAGCGCACTTTTCATTTTGCAGTGTTTTTATCACATTGGCTTTTGTCACCAAGTCCGAAATATCTCCGTCTGGAAGGAATTCCTTGAAAAAAGCACAGCGTTCATCGGTTGGCGGGTATCTGTTCGTAAAAGAGCCTTGGATGACTTCATACTTCAGAACCTTACCAGATTCAGTTTGGTTTTCAGCCATGATGTTGAGGTTTCAATATTGACATATAGTAAACACTGCAAAGCCAAAGCTCCTCTGTCAATACCAATCCCTCGTGGGAGAGCACAGAAAGGGCTATAAATCCCTCAGTCAAACCCCCCCTCCCATTTTCCCAGAACAAAAATCTGCCTGATCACTATTAGGAAGCAGCCTTGATGTTTTTCAGCCCAAGTCCTTATGCACCCATCGAAAAGTGAGGGGGTACATATGATTCGCCTTACATGCTATGCAACCACCAAGGCACCAATGCAGGAAGGTGAATGCCTTGGCTAATACCATCCAATACCACTGCAGAGCGGGCTCAGCCATGTCACAGTTGTCGGGATCCTCAATGCGGTGATGACTGCATAGTCCCCGTCAGTGGCACTGCCATCTATAACAGGCCTTACACCCAGAAAGCCTTGGCAGAAGTACATTCTGACTAGGCCGAACGGGCGACTCAGATGCAGTTTATAGATGAAAGTGCAAATCTTACATCTTCTACGCGGGGGGGAAAAACTGGCTGAGACTATCATTTGCAGCCTGTGGATATTCATAACAAGAAATCCCGCTTATTATACCTCAACACCCTCATCCCGTTAAAAGTCAGCCCCATGACGTTATTTATCCGAATCTGTGTTGAAGGTTGAGTCAGCAGCGAAATTCTTCAGTGTCTCTAGAGCATTTCGCCACCCCTCACAAATAACTCTGACCAGTCCTAGGACGCTCGTCGGATGTCCCTCATAATCGTAATCGGATTACGTAGACATCATTTCGCATCTCCAGACTTTCTAATACCAGGTTGTTTCGCCCGCAGAAGTCTTCGAGGTTACTGCGTAGCTGGCTGGGATCTTTGATGTCCCTGGCTCGAATATGCCGCTCAAAGGATCTCATTGTGATTGAAGGGGTGAAGGCTCGTAAAGTCTAGGAAGAAGACAAAATGACGACTGGCCTCAAATCATTCTCCCAAGCTCCTCAAATGGCAATACGTCGAGGTCAAAGGCTAGGGGTATCTTTAAGGACTGAGTGAAGGAGTGATTAATAAGAGCACAGATCATTGACATGGGATGTCCATACTTAAGTTGGAGGAATCACCGAGTGAATCGGATTTATCACCTGATCCGGTAAAATTGTGGCAGCTGAGTGTGGAGCAATAAAACAAGCCGCAGCACACCCAACGATCATATGTAACCAACGGGATTACAGCTCTTCCCTATTTTATTTCTTGCCGCATATTACTACGTTACTTTGTTTCTGAAAGGGGTTTTCAGCTGAGACTAGCTTGCATCTGCCCTTGCAATAATTGATCACGCTATTTCATTTTGCCACAAGGCTCGAGCGAGTTCCTCTCGCCCCCAAAGTGATCCGGTTTCTAGGAGATCTACTTAACCTTAGTATTCAAAGTTCTTTAATAAGAAAAAAAAGCCATTCAAATTATTCAAGCATCTTCATATACAGAAGACAACCTAGATCGGCAAGCCTTGTAGACCAAACCCAGTTGACAAGAGGTAGCGCAAGAAGCATAGAGGGGTTACTCCCGGTGTTTCTAAGAACTCTCAAGTTCGCCGATGCCGAGCACCGTCGAGGTTATTTTGCAACAAGGCTACGCGGCTGAGAACTACCAGCTGATATGCAGGTAAGCCCGCCTGGAAGCCATTATGAGAATAGTGCAGGTGGCTAAACTTCTCTCAGCAAAGGGGGTGGTTAGACAGAGTAGTAATGAGGCTCGTTTACAAGGACCTTAATAAGTGCCGTATGTCTCTTAAAAGATGGGCCTCAGTTAGCGCGCCATTCTCACACTCCGCTTGACGCTTTCATTAAATCCATCTCTGTCATTCGAATCAAGATGGATTCCAGTCTGATGGTCCCTAGTGGGCGGGCAAAGCGCGGATCAGATCAAAGCAGCCTTACTTCTTCAATTTCTAGAGCTCCCTACCCCGAAGGTTGGTACCAAATCAAAGATTTAGGGTACAGTGAGCTTGATGATTATATCCATTCGTCCACTCAAGGGCACGATCCATCTATTCCCAGTGAAGTATCAGACGATGCAAGTACACATCACTATCGAGGATCTAGCCTGAATGCTTATGAATAAAGAGTCAGTTACCTAGTCACGAAGGCCAGCATGCCGCTCTGGCTTCTAGTTCACGACCGAAGACAATACCAAAGGAAGAATTTTTCGATAATTTATTCCAGAAATTGAAGAATCGTTTCGTGTCCGAGGACAACGAAAGATTCCTACCATGGAATGATCTCAGGCTCGTTTTAGACAATAATACAGTACGAGAATGTATCTTGCAGTTGGATGTTGAGGAAGAACAGTATATCCAAATTTACGGCGACCGGTGTTCCTCTAGTCGGCTTCGAATTCTTGCAACCCTGATTTTAACCGACTGCATAGATTACTATCATCTAAATTCTTTTCTAGAGGAAGGAATCTTTGACAATTCGCTCCCTTTGAAGGAGGAGAATGCGCCCGTTTTCACGCGCTGGACGGATCGCGAAAAGAATGCGTTCTGCAAAGAACAATACATCGTTCTCGCCCCTTGCTTTAACTTCAGCAGAGACAAGCTCAGACATTATATATTTGATCCAAGCATCCCGATGCCATTTTTTAATCTTCGAAGTGTTGGCAGAGGGGGGGATGGCATGGTTTCGAGCGTGACGATACAAAGTGGCCATCACTGGGTTTCAGAACAGGTACATTGCGAATATTATCATAAAGTTATTTACGAGCATCTAACCACGTGTTCCCTAGGGATTGGGGACAGAAGGCAAGATTTTTGCTTTGAAAGAATTCACCAAATACACTACGTTCGCGAAAGAGAGAGAAGCGCTGGACCACTTCAGTGGTGCCAATCCCGGCCATGACCATCTCTCCAGACTTTTACTGTCGTTCGACCGGGCGAGCAAGTGGTATATGATTTTTGATTGGGCCAATGAGGATCTCGAGAACTTCTGGAAGACATTTTCAAGTCATCCAAAGTCCCACATCCATTTAAGTTGGCTCATTGCCCAATGTCACGGGATGGCTGAGGGCCTGAGTAAAGTACATGGAGACGGAGAGAAGCAACAGATATCCACAACCACACCTCCTATCCCCGATAGAGGTCGCCATGGAGATATTAAACCAAGTAATATTCTCTGCTTTAATCAGAACCGCCATGGAGAGATGAAACCAAGCAATATTCCCCAAGACGACAGTCGCTTAATCGACTATCAGCTCGTGGTTGCCGACTTCACACTAATGCATTTTCACTCCCCCTATTCTTTGGGCGGCACAAGCCCCCGTAACCTGGCTTGCTCTAGGAGCTATCGACCACCTGAAAAGGATATTGAAAGTGCCATCAAGATTGACCAGTCATATGACGTTTGGACCCTCGGGTGCGTGTACCTCGAGTTTATTTCCTGGTACCTACTAGGTTACGAGGCCGTCAGGGAGGACTATTTTTGCTATCTTGGAAAGTATGTCAAGTCTTTCCCAAAGATGCGGATGGATGAGAAGTCAGACCTTCCTCAAGATGATTTTTTTATCATGACGAAGAACAGGTTCTTATCCTTCCCTGCTGTTGTCAAACCAGGAGTTGTCAAGGTAAGTGAGTTCTTGTCATCTAAATAAGCACTTAATGAGCCCATTCTGATTTCCTCGTACAGTGGTTCCAGTTCTTACGCCAAAATAAAGACTGTAGTCAGGCTATCCATGACATTTTGGACCTCATTGAAAAGCACATGCTAGTCCCTAATCCCAAGGGTCGGTGGAAGATGTTCGAAATCAGTGAACGCCTCGAGACAATACATAAGAAATGCGAGAGAGACGAGGCTTATTGCTCAAAGGGGGTCCCGAGGCGGGTCAATTTCATAAGCCGGTTTGGCAAAGATTTCCCGCCACAAGTATGGTCATTCTAGAGCGCATCAGGCGAGCACCTGCTGATCCAATTTCTCAGGTTAAACAAATACCTTCTGCCAGGGCCGAGTCGCTGTTGTCCCCGAAACGTTTATCCACAGATCGATCGGACACAAGCGTGATCGAAAGGACATTTTCTGACCTGGTATCACATGACGGCAAACTGAGCAGCCAGCAGACAGGGCTTGCCTCGCCCATCAAGAGCCATGGGGGTTTAAAATCATCCGATCATGTTTTAAATACCCGGACGCAACAAGAGGGACAGCTGAATAATAAGAGCAGGACGGAGACCTTTCAGCGGGAGATTAAGCCTCCCAGAAAAACCATAAGATCAATACTTAAAGGGTTAAAAAATACTTTAAAACGTCGGGCTAAGAAAATAGCGTATATACCATAGGACTAGTCTCTCGAGATAATTAACTTTCTTGGCTGGAGAGCACCGTATATTAATCGGACGAGTTAATTATATGCGAAATTATAGCTTTATAAATACTTCTATTGAAGAATACGAAACCCTTCTCTCTCAAAATCCAATATAAATTGGAATAAAATTAGAGTTCTCTATCAGATACTTAATCTTACCTAGTTATACTTATACTCTATTAAGAATAAACTACTAGATAGTATATCCTCTACTATTCTTCATTCTTTCTATGCTTACCTGAGTTTATAAGAGATCTTTCATATTGGTTCTAGCCTTATAGGTTTTCAGACTATAGAGTTATAACTAGTAATACAAATGAGTTAGATGCCAATGGAGTTAGCAGCATCCCAACCAGCACAGCTTTTTTTGTTGGTTGAGTGAAGCAAGCCATTATCGCGGAGACCTTGCTTCTCAGCCTAGAATTTTGTTCCGACATCAGACATTTCTCCATTCGAACACATAATAAAGAGGCAATAAGAATAGTAGAGATACTCTTTCTTCAAAAGATCGGTGTCGCTAATGAAGGTAGCCAAGCATAGGACAGCGAAAGCGCCCCGCGATACTCAACCAGGATGATCTCGTACCAGCCGCTCTCAAAGTTGTAGATGAGATAAGATCCTGTCGTGTTGAGTATGTTGGCCGATATTCCTGAGGCTACTTAGGCTTTCGCGAATAGATAAACTAAGAGAGCTCTCACCTCGCCCGGTCGCCCCTTCGAAAGGCTTTAGATTTATATTTATTGTTGAATTTATATATATTAACTTCAAATATGAGGGTATTATTAATAGATAGAAATAAGTGAGTTCGTGATTCATCATTTGGATAATACGATATGATATGCCCAAGACGTGGAAAGATCTTAACACACAAGAGCTAGAGACATAACATCGTATAGAACATTACAGCAATAAATCCGCCCCGCCGATCATCCGATTCACCCAGACAAATTCAGTCATATGGATGAATCTACAGTTTTAAAGATTCAGGATCTCGTTGGAGCGCCCAAACCACCAATAGGTCCGGGTTCTGCTCAATCTCAGCCGCGCACGCCTTCAACCAATGCCAGTGTGCCTCAAATTCGTGAAAGTGGTTTTGCCAAACCATCAACCGCAAGAGGAGTAGCCCTCCGGCATGGGGGTCGTAAGTCTCCCCTATGGGGGTCCCAGCGCGACGGTGCTGCTCAGTCTCTTCCTCTATATTCCCCCAGACGCCCTTGAACTTGCCGTGGAAATCACGCAAAACGGCCACGTCTTCGGGGGCGAGGGTGTCCGCCGGCTCATCATCAAGACTGCACTGGGGAATCTCCTCCAGAAGCTGCTTCAGCTCCTCGCCGTGGACTGATCTCTGCATTCGATATCTGCTGAAGCTGTTTGGCGGGAGATGAAGCCGGAGGGCCATCTCTTTCGTCTGATCCTCCAATAGGCCCTTGAACTGGTTCATGAGCGCCTGAGCCAGGGACTCCCGTCCATACTCTCGTTCAAAACAATGGTTACATAAAATCGGCCCCGTAACCTTCACCCATGTGCCGTCTTGTGTTTTTCGGCACTCGTCTTCGGCTCGTGACCACGGGTAGTTGACCCGGTTCCCCGCAAATCTGAAAGACCGCAACTCCTGCCACTTCTCGCACTGAGGGCACCGTTTCACATACATGGTCCATTCTTCATCGGTCTTGTTGAACCGGCATGGTCTGATGATGCGAGGTGGAAACGGCGGGCGTTTGCTGACGAGGACTTCGGCTAATTGCGGAAACCAACGATCCAAGCACGACTCGTATCGAATACGGCGACTTCTGTGCAAATCCCAGCCGCGGTCCTTATACTGGCACTCCATGCACCGTCGCTTCAGCCGGGCATGTCCAGAGAAGTGCCGCTCATAGTGGGCGACCTGCCGCCAACAGGATTTGTCGATCTTGTTATCTTTAATCTTCTTCAGCCTAGCCGCCTTGCTCCAATCTGTCCCATGCAGTGACGGCGCCCATGAGGAGGTAACGAGAGTCGGATTCCACTCTTCATATGGCTTGCGGGTTGCCAGGCTCAAAATCGAGTGGTTGTTGAAGCGAGAATGGGGTAAGAGCTTCAGGCATGAGGTGCAGGCCCAGCGATGCGCGTCCCAGTCTTCTAGTATCCAATCTGCAAAGCATCCTCTGAGGAAGAAATCTATGGAGACGATATCAGGCCCTTTGTACTCTGGTCGGGACTCGATGACGAGCAGTCTTTCAGCAAAGTGTTTTCTTTGGGGATCGATGACGCGCCGGAAGTAGCGGCTGGATTGGCTGAGGGATATGAGACCGACGGGGTCTAGCATGCGGATGATATCCTGCTGCAGTTCAAGCGGCAGCGAGTCCTGGAATTTGCAGGCTGGTGCTTCGGCAGTAGTGACAGACATGACTGCTGGTTTAGATGAGAGGGGGATGTTTTGATGTCGGCACGATCGCCATATGACGATCTATGGCAAACATGTTTGTGTATGTGGGGGTCGCGTTGGAGTCCATCTACCGAACACGGCCGCAGATTGGTCAACAAGGTGGCACCAGCAGCGTCTTAGGTGCATATAGCACGCTCACCGGTCGGCAAGGGCCCTGGAATGCTAACGGAGTCGGGCATCTCGTGCATGAGATCAAGGTCGATATGATGCCACTCTTGTGGTAATGGAGAAGGTAGTATCGGGGGTCTTCACCGGCCCCGTTCCAATGCTTTTGATTCTAAATTATGGGGAAAATATACGAGAATGGATTATTTTCAGATGGATGAATTTGTATTTCCACCATTGAATGTGAGACATCCAAGGCCCTCGGCGTCTAACAAGGTTCGCCAGAGCTGCAGAATCCATCGGCCTGCAGATCTTATTATAGGGGATAGATGAAGAATTTGTTTTCCAAATCGGTCAAATCCAGTAGCGAAATATCGACTTTGACCTTGGTTGTCTCCCCGTTTTCATCCTGCTGTTCAATGTAGCCTTCCCCGTTATTCCCCTGGCTGGCTTGCTCAGCGATCCATTCCCTTCGCTCTCTGTTCCGTCTGTTCAAAATCCACCGGATCAGAATCAGGATCAGTGGAGTCATGACAAAACTCAAAATAGTCTGGACAATCCAGGTAGCGTAGTATCGCGGGCCTCCAGACTTCCACATCTGAGGGGAGATGATATTGGAAATACCATAAGCGGCCATGAAAAGGGCATTCCGAGTAAGCTTCTTAGTGTGTCCGGCGCAGCTAGAAGAGGTCCATGCGAACGATATGATGTACGTCATACCCCAAGTATTAGTAGCCAGCAACAGACAGGCCAGCAGTGGGATTGTTTTGTCCCAGGATAGAGCAACCATGCCAATACTGCCTGCAATTGCGGGCAGACACCACAAGGTTGACCAATAAGCGTTATATCCTGGGAAGGCTTTCAACAGGATGGATGCAATGACACAAACAATAACAGCGAAACCGCCTGCTGCTACCCACACGAGTGTCGAGCCGAGGTTCGACACACCAAGATCAAGATAGAGCAGACTAAGCTGGAAAGCCAAGTTGTTGGCAAGCATCAAGAGGAAAGTAGCTAGTGTGAACAACCAAGAGATTGGGTCGCGCAAAGCCTCGATAAATTGATACTTCTTGAACTTCTTTTGTTCAATAGAGCTCTTGGTCGCTTCGTGGACTCTCCGAATAGTGTGTACCTTTTCCTCGATTGTTAAGAAATTCGCGGTGGCGGGGTTGCTAGGATACGCAAACCATGTCACCACGGCCAACAGAACAGAGAGACCTCCTGTGATAATCATGAAGAACTTCCAAGGGCTGACGGGGCTCTGACTCCAGAGCAGACCATATGCAATTAGACCAGTAATGATTGGTGATCCAACGCAAGAGGTCCAGAAGATAGGTTGGATGGCATACAACTCATTCGGAGGAAAGAACATAGCCATCGTTACTTCAAGGGCGGGAACCATTGGTGCTTCGGCCATGGCAAGGAAGAATCGAAGGGGAATGAGTCCCCCATAGCTCGAAGCAACGCAGTGTAGAAAAACGAGAACACCCCAGATGAAGATGGTACCGGTCACATAAACCCGAAGCGGCAAATGCTGAATGAGAAAGTGGCCAGGGATCTGACCGACCACGTATCCTAGAATCGTTTGTGAGTCAACCAACAGATAGTAGAAAAGGGAGTGTAGCCTTTTACGAACCAACATAGAAGATCGTGTTCAAGTTATTATATTCAGAGTTCCCGATCTTAGTGCCTTTAAGTAGACCAAGAAGTGCGGCTTGGCCCAAGGTCGATTTATCCACCTGGTAGTATTCTAGTCAGCGACTTTCTCTTATCTAACGTTTTTTTGCGTTTTCATCACTCACGAAAAGCATAAAGTTGATGACAGTGGCTAGGAGAACAACACGCAGATACAACTTTCTCCTCAATGTTGAGAGTTTTTCTGGAGTTAGTTCTCCGACCGTTGCGCCATGCTGTTTGACCAAGTCATGTGTTTCATCGGCTGCATTAACGAGAACAACTCTTCCCTCGCGGAGAGATTCCTCTCGCCCCGGACTTTCGGTGGAGGTCGATGAAATATCTTTCTCACCCATTGTAGTGGTTCGGGATGATATTTCGCTCAAGGCAAACAAAATCAATTATTTGTGAGTAAGATCTTCCTCGAGTCTGAGAATATCATCATGCAAGATCATCGATCTAAATAACCCACAATCTACTATCCGCTGCTCTGGAACAATGCAGCCAGATCGGTGTTTACAATCCCTCGATCAGATTGCATCATCTATTTTTACCCAAACGAGAACCATTGTTCCGTATTTCCATTAATCCCGATATCATCGTGGGAATGAAGCCTGGCTAGTGCCGGGGACTGTTGGCACAAGCCGTTGACTGACCGGGGACCACGGGGACTCCGCCGGCGATTGCGTGATATCTACCCAAGATTGGCAGTGCACGCTTACAAGATCTGAATGTTATGTAAATGATAGGCTGACGATATGAGTCTTTCCAGCTCATGAAATTCATATTTACCAATGTTGGGACAAGTTGCGTATACTCTCCAATCACGAGACAGACTTCCACCATTATAATCACAAACATGAGCCACCCCATCAATAAACAAGGCGAAAAGCTGGAGGTTGCCATTGCGGGTGGCGGCATTGCGGGTCTTATTACTGCCATCGCCCTGCTAAAGCACCCAGGCGTTAATGTACGAATCTATGAGCGAGCCAAGGAGTTCAAGGAGATCGGTGCCAGTATTGGTCTCGGTCCCAATGGCCTGAGATCCTTGGAAGCTCTGGGTGTTGAGAACGCCCTTACAGAGGATGTTTGCACCAGGCAAAAGTCAGACTGGCCTATGATCTTCCGACACTGGAAAACCGGGGAAGTCTTGGCTACAGACGTACACTATACTGTCAAGACGAAGAAGCATTTCACGGCTCGATACCATCGGGCTCACTTGCACCAAGCCTTGCTAGAGAATCTCCCCAAGGGCATCGTCGCCTTGAACAAGAAGACCATTAATGTGTATGCCGATCCAAACCAAGGCGTGACACTATTTTTTGAAGACGGTTCAAGTGCGCGGGCAGATATCTGTATTGGTGCCGACGGAATTCACTCGGTATGGAAACAAAAGTCTTTAGGCTTTACTTGTCCATCGTTGTGCTGACTTCTAAAAACAGAATGTGCGGAAGACCTTTGTTCCTGACCATACTCTTCGATGGACTGGTTGGGTAGCGATGCGGGCTACTTTCGAGGCATCACGCCTTGGGGATCTGGAGTTCCCTGAAGATGCAGTCCATTGGGTATGCCGCCTCACAACCACTTCCACGACAGGCCATGGAGTGCACAATCTTAGCTAACGCGTTGTAGATTGGCCATGACCGAAACTTCTTTCACTCTCATCTTGGTAGGTTTCCCTTGTTCTACCTTCATCCTCTATACATTACTAATGCCCAATTCGTAGGAAAGGGTCTCTTCACCACCGTTGGCGGATTCCATGTCGACCCTAATGACCCGAATGCACATGGCCGTGACGCAAACTGGGACGATCTTGGCAGCTTGGAAGAGTTTAAAGAATACTACAAGGTATTTCCTCCACATCCCAACCTTCAACCTCTGATTCTAACAGACTCCATCAGGATTGGAATCCTACCGTACGTGCATTTATAGAAGCATGCCCTTCTATTCGCCTCTTTCCTAACTACGCCGGCGGCCCTCTCGAGACTTGGGCTTTCAAAAACCGCGTTACTCTAGTTGGCGATGCGGCGCATACTCACGGTGGTGCTTTTGCCGCTGGTGGATCGCTCGCCATCAACGACGCACATGCCCTCGGCCTCGCCCTCAACTATGTCTGGCCAGCCTCTTCGTATAATGGGGAGAAGCCGACAGCAGAGCAGATTGCCAATATTTTCCGAGTATATGAGAATACGCGGAAGCCTCATATTGACAAGATTCTCGGCGTGGTGCACAAGGCCATCGCAGGACAGAGAGCGTCAGTCGAGAAGGGCAAGGTTGAGACCGACGAGGAGCTGAGGCAGAGAGTTGCGAACAGAATGGATCCTTGGTGGATCAGTGAACATGATGTTGAGGAGGAATTTCAGAAAGCTATCAATGGCGGGAAAGGGCCTGAGACTAACGAGTCACGCCCACGGCTGTGATTGGGAGTTTTTCTCCAACTCTGGTAGCCCAGTCTATTTGTAAGAGGTCATGCTAGGTAAAAACATGAACCTCGCTCAAAAATACGTTGATCTGTGACGATACATGCTCCTCAACGTGAGTACTGAGTCTTGAAAAATCTGCTAAGACACCAATCGCCCTCATCTCTCTGCTTATCTCCGTAACGCCCGCTTGGTAGATATTTTCGGGTCTACAATTATGGGATGAACTGATACGATGGCGAGCGACGGCGACATTATGGATCTAAACTAAGCACGCAATCGCCCCTGGTCCCAAATAACCGAGCAGCCCAGGATAGAAAAGTTGCAGGGAGACGAGTCATTTCTGTGCCAGGAAGTATCTCCAGTGACCTCGTATCTCCAACAGGAATTCACAGAGCCTTGGATTGTAACTAAGACTTTAAGGCATCGTCTCGCTTATAATTCACGCAATATGCCAGAAGAAGTACACACAGGTAAGTAACTTTATTGCTAGGTCAAACGAGCTCCTCGCTTACAGATGATAGGCTTTTACTTTACGTCCAAGACCCATCGGGACACATACCCAGCCATTGATCCGAGCAAGCGGGATTTCACCGGCAAGTATGTGTTCGTCACTGGTGCGTCCAAGGGAATTGGGGAGCAAATAGCTCTATCGTACGCATCCGCGGGAGCCGCAGGTATTGGTATCGGAGCCCGCTCTGACCTGTCTACCTTGATCCCAAAGATCGAAGCCGCTGCTGTCGCGGCTGGCAAGGCTGTCCCAAAGGTTGTTCCAGTCACCCTCGATGTCACAGACGAGGCAAGCGTCAGTGCCGCGGCAAAAGTTATCTCAGAGTCCTTTCCGCGACTGGATGTCCTGGTCAACAATGCCGGCTACCTAGAAATCAGAAGCAAGATCAAGGATAGCGACCCAGAGGAATGGTGGAAGACATGGACTGTGAATGTGAAAGGGCCATATCTCGTCACACGGGCCTTCCTGCCCTTCATTATTGAGAAAGGTGGCGACAAGATTATTGTGAATCTGAGCAGCATTGCCGCCCATCTTACTGCGCCTGGAGGATCTGCATACCAAACCAGCAAACTTGCGGTGCAGAGATTTACCGAGTTCCTAGATGTGGACCATGCGCCTGATGGGATTCTCACCTTCGGAATCCATCCAGGAGGTATACTGACGGATATGGGCAAGCGGTTACCAGCCGCACGACATGCTGCACTTACAGAGACTCCTAAGCTGCCTGCTGACACCATTGTCTTTCTTACTGAGACCCGTCGTGAATGGCTTGCTGGTCGATACCTTTCGGCTACATGGGATGTTGAAGAGCTGCTGTCTAAGGAGGAAGAGGTGGTTGCCAGTGACAAGCTGAAGGTGAGGATGCGGGTTTAATAGTGGATTTTTAAATAAAGTACAAATTCAGTCTAGAATATTCGATAGCAATAAGACCTCACTTTCTTTACATATTCTACCGTCCTTTCCTATCTATCAGAAGAGCCAGGATCATCATGACGCTTTCGAATAGCCGCCCAATGCTTGTCCTTGGCTATCAAAATTTCAATGTCACTCTGGACCCAGTCATCCTCAAAGACTGGTAAGCTGTAGCCACCAGATCCTTCAGCTGGAGCTCCGGCGAAATTAGCCAGCCAGCCATAGTACTCATGGAAGTCTGGCTTGATCTCATGAAACAGCTCAGTGGGTCCTTTATATTCCAGCCTTTTGACTTCCCAATCGTGTTGCTCTTTAGAAGTAGGGAGCTCCTCTGTTCTCCCAGCAAAGTAGCGACTGACAGCTATTGCTTGGTATTCGTAGACACGGAAACTGATTGCTGCTCGCACCTGCAAGAGGTTAACTTTGGTCCTTGTTCAATAGTAGGTTGTTCTCCTACCTGTCCAATTACTACCAGCGAAGGGTTTTCCATGTTGAACACGTGCTGATAGAAGCCTTTCAATCTGTTTTGCGAGGTTACAGCCTCAAAAGGCAGGAATGGGTACGATAACTTATACCCCGTTGCGAATATAACCTTGTCAAAACTCTCTAACGTCGTTCCGTCTTCAAAATAGAGAGCACCTGCTGCCTCGCTCGATATTCTCTTAATGGGCGGTTTTGTAACCACATTGGGCAAGCGAAATGCGTTCTTCAAGAATTCAACTTCAGTCCTCATGGAAACATGAAATGGTGCCTGGACGATGTCGTGCAGGTCCTCGGATAAATCAGCGGCAGAAACCCCGCTGCCAACGACGACGACTTTCTAGACGATATGTAAGTCACGATCAAATTCGTGGCGTTGAAACAGGGCTTTATATGGGTAATGGCCGTGTGATGCTCAAGCGGCACTCACCTTCCCAATATAACCTTCTTGTGACCTCCAGGACTTGGAGTGCTCAAACTTTTCGGGATGTTCCTTCGAAAGTTCTTCAAGACCTTCAATATGTGGAACGTGGGCAACATTGAAGTGCCCCGAAGCCACCACGACTGCATCAAAGACTTCTTGCCACCAGTAGTCACGGGGTTTCGGATCAGATCCATGCCGAACATTTCTCTTCCTTAATGTAAGAAGCCACCCACTACCGCTAACAAGCTTCTCAACCTTCTCTACACCTGTGCTAAGCTCGAGGCGATGAAGATACGGCTCAAAAAGATTCTCAAGATATTTCAAGACAGCTCGACGTGGTCGTGTGGAATTGTTCTGTCCGTGTTTCCGAATTGATGAAACAGAGTTGGAAACGGGAAGTGGAGTGTGGGTGTACGCCATAGTTCGGGAGCCTGCATTGGTGTCAAGAGCCTCATAGGCCGATCCACGAAGTCCGAGTCTCTCCGGCAAGGGGTCAGCAAGCAGCGGAGCATGGGGCGTTAGACTTAGTGGGATATCAGGAACACCCTCAGCTTCGGTGCTGGTTGGCTGAAATTTGTCCGGTTCCGCATCGTAGGACCTACGAAACATGAGATTCATTACCATGAAGAGGAAAGATAGAAGCAAAGTACACATACCACAGCCCACCCACGCAGTCCTTCCGCTCGAAAACCCGGATGTAGTCGAATACTCGCTCATCCTCTAAAGCCTTGACAGCTGCAAGTCCTGATGGGCCTGCGCCAATGACAGCAATTCTGTTATACCTGGGTGCCATCTTTGATTGGTCTCTGAATAGTGTGTGTCGGTTTACGTGGAGCTAGGATACAATCGAGGGCAGCTTTATTTGTATCTACTGCAAGCTATTCCAGATCCAACCGTCGGCGTCCATGACAAGGCCATTCTTATTATTTTGAGCAGCCTTTGTTCTCCATGTGTGAAAAGTCCAACTGTAACGATTTCTTCTCGGCGAGACAGGTCTCCTATCTTGCTGAGCCACGATAGGCGACTACATCGGCGTTTTACGTGGGTCCAGTCTCATAGTCCCCGATGACACCATGCCGGCATCCACAAGCAAATGGGCCGCCTCAAATCAGATGTTATGATGTTATGCACACTGGAGAGGGTGGTGGAGGAGGAGGGCTCATGAGAAGAATTCCTCGGCAATCAAGTGTAATTCGCATGCGTGGACGTCTCACTTCAAGTTGCAATGGCAGGACGGCAGTTCTATATCCAATATCAAGGCTCCCAAAGTCCAGCAGTAGTCTATCACTAGGGTATCAAAAATCTCAATTAATCTGTGAAACTGTTTCATCTTGTGCCCAGTGAAAGAAATCCAGCCACGGAAGATCATTGATCTGAGGTTCAGTCACTGGCGGGCTCACATCAACCCCACTGTCCCGTGGAGATCCAGTCTTGTCCTTGGCCTGCCTTGCGCGTGTTGTCAGTGCCTCAAGAGCCATCGGTTTAATCTTCCGCAATGTGATCTGTGCCAGGGCCCAGGTTGGGCTCAGGGTTTTCAGAACACCGGCGATGAGGGAGACGCTATCCCGGCACTGTTCCTGAAACCTAGCCGGGCGTACCCAACATGCTGACAACTGGACAATCACTCCGAAGACTATGCCGCATATAAAGAAAGGGGTGTGCTTATGGACAGGTACCCGAAGGGCTGCCAGATTGCTCATGTGCTTTGAAGCCTCGATAGCTTTGATACCATGCATGGTTCTGGACGACAGCGGTAGGACATGGGTTTGGCGAATTATGTCCGATGCGGCCGGTATAGCTGCCACCAAATCGCTTCTCGGGAAGTGTAAATTGATAATCGTAAACTGTATAATCATGTGTGCTTGAAATAGCATTTCATCAACCGCGCCAGACGTGCTGGCTGCCTCTGCTGCACCATGTCTAAGGTGATGCGGCCAGGCAGCGAGTGCATTGTCGATGGCTTGCACTTGGTCTTCATGAACCTCGTGGGTCCATGAGATGGCCAAAGAGCGTGACAGAATCCGCACCGCCTCTATGCGGTAGCACGATGATGAGAATTGAAGTTCTTCATCCGTATATATCCGAGCATCAAAATCGGCCAGTGTGAAGGTGTTGGCTTGTGTTCCACCTTCCATGTAGATGGAGTCATCACAAGGAAGGGGCACATCAATGTCAACTCCGTGGCATCGAGAGCCAGTTCCACGCTGAAGGGCCGCCATGAAGCCATCTGTCACATACAATTCCCACCAGGTCCTTCACAAGCTTTCTTCCTCGATCTCGCCAAGTCCTAGTATAGATCCGGAGAAAGCTTTCCTGTGCAAACCGAGCTCCAGTGCTACGGACACAGCCTGGCTTAACGTGAGGACAGATTCTTTTATCTCGTTGCGTGCATGTAAAGCGACTGAGAATAATAGAAGACCTTGTACAAGATGGTATGTGCGACTGGTTCGTCCAAAAGCTTCTTCCAACGCTTTGCCGGCTAGGCTACGTAGTTGGTCCCCTGAGGCCATGCTAGAGAAGTGGCCTCCAATGAAATGCACCACCAGCTTCAGGTAATCGGGATAGCCTTGCGAACTGTAACTGCCTCGCGGTACAAGAGTTGGATGGGCAGCGTGAAAGTTAGCATAGAAGAGGTTAATCAAGGCATCGTCATCCTCGATAGCCGCGGCAGTGTCGTCGTAAGCACTGAGAAGCTCAACAGGGGTGGTAGTAGTCGCAGGCACTGATGATCTTTCTTGACCCTGCGTATAAGAGGGGCCATGAGTTTGTGCGATAGGCTCTATAAGCCTGGTATCGACTGATTCTCTGAGCGATTCGGTCACTGGGACACTTCCGTAGTCGGCGGTTGGCTTCCAATGGACTCGGCGTTCGTCCCCCAATGGGGCATCAGGAGCACGGCGCTTTAGACCCCTTCGAGATGGAACGTAATGACACTGAAGACCTGAAGATCTACAACGGCGGCATATTGGCACACTCGCGTCACATTTCACATGTTTTCTCCGGCATTCGGTACATGCAAGTGGAGCCGGACGATCTGTCGTTTCGAGACCGTCCAGAGACTCCCCCGCGGGTGATCTCAGGGAGGTGTCACCGCTCCCGGGCTGGGTCGAGGACTGCATGATGAGTAGCTATGATTCATTTGACCCTCAACAAAGCCGGGAGATGACAGCAGCCAAAATATCTCGCTTCAATGCTAAACATCGCAACCACCATGCAGAATGGCGCAATCTCACTAATCCCGCAACAGACAGAGCCAGACCCACACTCCAAGCTATGAACAGACATCAAGATAACCCAGATGCGTTGTTGAACTAGCATGGTACACATTAGCTCGCAGATCGGGTCTTAGAGTCTATGGACTTGATGGGGATTCCCACGTGGCCGGGTATCAAGTACCACCCTTGTGCCCTCACCTATCAGAGTTATGTCTCAACTTATTTCTAGAGGGCGTATCTGGCTACTAAGTCTCACCGTGGTTAGCAAGCAAGTCTTAAGTTTTGAGAATCACTTTAGTAGTCGCTTAGGAAACCTCTCCAGTTCCGCCCATGCTATTCAGAGCATTAAAACACGTAGTAGGTGTTGGTGCGTCTAAGCATCTTAACGCAAAGAACGGCTTCAGAAACAGTCTACAGCGGAATGATTGTTGAAACATATGTATAAGAGAATGTTCTAGGTGATATAGGGGTTCCAAGGCCACAGGAAACTATTTTCACTTTGTAACTGTTCAAGTCACCCCACAGCCATGGTAGTGCCAATATCAACATATCAAGATTAAGTAATGCAAGTATAATACAACCGCTCCAGCTGTTGTTGACCAATCATCGCGTCTCAATGTACTAGAGGGTGACTCCGGAGTAGTGGACAGCGAGGAACTTAATTATGCAGGTGGGAGGGCCGCCGAGGCTATATTAGAGTTGACAGTAGCCGCACTCAGGTGTGCCCTGACGGGTGCCATCCGTCCTGTCCGGCATTCTCGAAGTCCTTAGAACGTTGATACAAGTAAATCAGGGAGGAATGACAGTATGTTTTCTCGTGTCGTACCGTGATCAGATAGCAGTGGTTAGGCAAAGAAGACCTTCGGCCTCGCTTTTATCATATCTCCGTGATCCAACAGCCGATAGCAAGAGACTAGCGGGGTCACAGAAGTAAAGAATGTCACTTATACTGGTAAGGGATGTCACTTATGCTGGTTAGGAATGTCACCTCTGCTAAAACGGGGCTTTTTTCTCCCCCATCCTTAATGAAATTCGTTTGTTGGTCGATGAGAACAGCCCACTTGGTAGAAGCAAGCGGGTCTACCGAACAGGATATTCTTCATGAAGATAGTCTGGCAGGCAACGTCTCAAATTCGGCATTGTCAAAGGCTACTTATCTCCGTCATATGAATTAGATTTCGAGACTTCAGTAGGCATATAAAAAAGGAGATGAGACAGAGGAATCTCCCTTACATTGAGCCAGAAGATCTCCGCAAAATAGAGATTTAGGAAATATAACAATGCCTACTACCAAGCCCACTCTGGTCCTGATTACCGGTGCCAACCAAGGCATCGGCTTCGAAGTTGTCAAGAAGCTGATTCTCGAACACAAAGACTATCATATTCTCATGGCCGGACGGAGAAAGGATGCCATTGCAGATTCTGCTCGGCTGCTCAAAGAAATAGAACCAAACGCCTCTGTTGAGCCGCTAGTTCTCGACCTGACCTCGGATGAATCCATTGCAGCGGCCGTTCAATATATCAACGAAACGTATGGTTATCTCGATGTTCTAATCAATAATGCTGGTATTGGGGGCAACTCCGCTCGTGGCCCTTGGCCTCGAACAGAATGGCAGGAAGTTTTTAACACCAACGTCTTCGGCACTTCAGTTCTCACAGATTCCCTTATCCCACTTTTAGCGAAGTCAGATAAAACAAAACGCGTCGTCTTCGTCACTTCAGAACTCGGCAGCATCGAGTGGAAGTCCAAACCATCAAATGAGTTTGTCCTCCCATACAAGGTCTACGCTGCTAGCAAGGCTGCCTTGAACATGCTTGCTGTAAACTTGGCGATGCAATACTCGCAGGATTCGACATGGAAGATCAACTTAGCATGTCCAGGGCACTGCGCGACTCGCTTCACCGACTACGCAGGTACTGATACTGCGGCCAATGGTGCACTCAATATCTGCCGTCTCGCCACGCTGGAAGCGGACGGAGAAACTGGTACGATGTCTAACAGATTTGGAACCATTCCGTGGTAGCAAATGGAGAGAGGCCACAAAAGAGTGTGTGTTTCATCTTATCATAACGTTAAAATGCAGGCCAGGATAGTTGAGACGTTTTATTAAGAATGCAGTGTAAGGTGATATGGCAGCGAGGAATAAGAGATAACTTTTCATTGAAGTTCAGATTCTCAAGGGAGCATAGGCGTAGAACTTCGCAAATTTTGTTAGAAGTGCCCCGTTCTTTGACAGTCTATCCTCAAATCATAGAAAGTCAACATACTGTCTGAAATCCCTAGTTGTCAAATACGTTTTTAATGAGTAGCCGTATACCAATTTCCGAAGATTGCCAGTCTGTAACCTGGCTTACGGTATTTTCAAAGAGCTACCCGGTACCTGGGCTCTACTCAACAACACATCAACGAGAAAATTACGTTTATCGTTCATAACACTATACTGTGGGATAATATTAATAATATTACTTTAATTTCACATGTTTTACGATTTATCATACCCGTGACATGAAGGATGATTTGATAGAGCACTCAAGTTGCTGGAAAATGTAGCTCTGACGATATATGTTACAGGTCAGATTGTGAGCCTTGACAATTGATGAGACACAAGTGGTTGGAGGGTCTATTTTCTTTGAATTCGCACTCGTAACAATGTACTCCTTTAGCAAAGAAATATTGTAGAGTCAAGACTACAACTATCCGGTAACGCGGCAAGTTGTGAATGCCAATCACAGGTTATCGCGCAAAATTTGTGTAATTGGAATATATAATACTATTACAAGGTTCTGGGTATGAAATATCCGATATGGTGTAACGGTTAGCACACTACGCTTTCAGGACAACTGTGAGCGCCGTGGAGATCGGGGTTCGATTCCCCGTATCGGAGAGGTGAATATTCTTTTTTTCCTTTTTGCGGCTTTGCTCGATTTATTTTTGGCTCGGTCTAACGGCTTCGCTTGCACTACGCGAATAAAACGGCTGGATCCCCAGACTGCACCATACCGTTTTCAAAAGGAAGGCCCCTTATCAATCTGATAATCAGGGCCGGTTCTTGTGTTGACCCCTCAATCCTCGTTTTATTGAATTTTATTGGAAGGCTGGTAGATAACTATTGGACCAGCTCCGCCGCAAATGCAACTCCACTTGAGCGGTTAATCTCTCAACCTTTATCAACCACGTAACCTAGGCAAGGTCTTAGCCCTGGCCTTTGTTCCTGGCTCTCCATCTGATAAACCATCTATCTGCAAGTCCACTTTTCAGTCCAGAGCTCTAGTCACTTGAAACGTGTCTCCTCTCACCACCGTCGTCAAATATCGCGGGTGTGAAGAAATGCGTTGGTTCGAGGACATTCCCACCGAGCTGCGGCTGCAAGTGTACCGCCTCCTCTGCGAGTCAACAACTGTTGTCATCCACAGCAAATGCCACTGTAGGGGAAGGAACGGGAAATACAAGCCTCTGCGCGGGGCTGTCGCGTTCCTGTGCTCCTCCAAGGCCGCCCTGGCCGATTTCGGCCCTGTGTTTCGCGACGAGGCCATCTTCATGCTACACACGCAGGACTACAACCCGCCCGATCCTCTCTGGGTCGCCCGTGGCTTGCATTCCCGGTTCTTCAATGACATCGAGGAGCGCGAGCTGTCGGAGTTCTTCGTGCAGGGCCATATGCGTCTGTGGATAGATCATAGAGATAAGGATTTGCTGGCCCCTCGGTCCATATTCAACGTCCCTTCCGCGCGTTTCACCGTGACAGATCCCTTGGGCCAGGCACAAACAAGCTTGAAGCAGATTCATGGTATGCTGTCCAACTAATCCTCACATGCTTCCTTAACTCAAATTTATTTTTTGATAGAAACACAAAAGCTCTTTAGCCTCATCCAATACTGCCGTGGCCGTGTCGAGATGCTAGAGTTTTGGTGGCACCATGCCTCTTCCAAAAGAAACGATCCAGTACGAGAGTAACCCATACTCCGGTTGACGGAGTTGTCCAAAACCAAAGCACCTTCTAATAGCTCTTACAGGTCGTCCCATGGCACGTCTGTGTTGACAGCAAGTCAAATTTTGTTATCAAAGGCCCAAATACGACGGGATTTCGGTCTCTACAAAACCAGTTTCTCAAACTGTTGAAACAGTCTCTTATCAGTGGCATCACGGACAATATCAAGTTTACATTTGTGCAGATGTAGGCGAGATTGATTTCACGTGAGCAGCACACTTTACCTCAACACCAGTTCTTCATTTGGCATGGATCACAACTAAATCGAAATAGGAAAAAATGGGAGATGCGCGTGGACTTTATTCTGGGCTCCTGCGAGGAGGAGCAATGAGCATATCTACTACTCCAAGACCCACGCCCTAAGTCTTTCGATCTATCCACAATCTCCTAATACACAGTGGTGATTGGGGTCTTGACATAGCTGTTCAAGCTCGTTGTGCCATTCATGTTCTGATAAACAGCCTGGACGAAAGCCTGAGCAGCATACTTGGCTCCGGCAGGGCTAGTATGCGTGTGGTCGTTAGGGTAAAGGGCATTGACGGCGCTGTTGCCGAGCTTGCGGTACATGCGGCTAACCGCCTCGTGGTGGTCGACAAAGGTGACCTTGGAGTCAGCGATCGCGTTCTTAGCCGTCAACTGGTATCCCACAAAGCGGCTGGGGGCTCCGGACCAGACGCCAGTCTCCCACTGGTTGTTGGGTGTCTGGGAGCTGAGGATGACGGTGGCGCCCTTGGCCGTCATGAGCTTGGCGGCTTGAATGACATAGAACACAAAGGTGTACACCGTCTCGCCGGTCTTGTCGGAGATGCATGTCTCCGTGCCGGCGCCGGGGCAGTCGGAGCGGCCGTTGTCATTGCTGGTGGGACTGCCTCCGTCGTTGTGACCGAACTCGATGACGACGATGTCGCCAGACTTGACTAGGTCGGCGACGGCCTGGAAGCGGCCCTCGTTCCAGTAGGAGCGTGCAGAGCGTCCGCCGATGGCCTTGTTGACGGTGGAAACGGTCAGGAGGTCGCCGATGTAGCTGCCCCAGCCGTCGGTGGCTCCGTCGTTGGCGCCCTTGGCGGCCATCGTGCTGTCGCCGCAGAAGTAGACGGTGGGTGCTCGGGTCACCAGGTTGACATTGTCATTGTCGGAAGCAGGGGCGGCTGAAACCTGGATTGCGCCGAGGGCCAAGGCGGCGAGGGATGCAACTGTGAACTTCATGACGGGTAGCGTGGATATGAGACTGAGAGTGCTTCGGACTTCAGACGATGCAGATCTGACTGTATGAGTTTGAGAGACCGCCAAACACAGGGATGTCCGCTGTTTTTAACTACCTCTCCGAGTGTGATCCACGGAGCTGAAGCTACGGGGCGTGCTATAAATGAAAGGCATTATACACTCTTTCGGCAATAAGGAGTTGGCTCCGTCTGGCAGGTCGCCTGATAATGGCCGTCTATTCCGGCTTTGGTCCCGTCCCAAGGGCCGTACCGCTGTATTTTCCACCAGTGAGTTAAATGAAGGAAATGCCCAAGGCTTCTGGTTTGTTTCATCGCGGTAATGAGTGCCGAGATGAACACATTCGGCTGGTCAGGACCCAGAGTGTCATCTTGTGCCCCACTGCCTCATTCTCTTCGGCGCTGTTGCCTCCGAGGTCGTATTCCGCTACTTGGACACACTGTTAGCACTTATATAGATCCTCTAGAATACAGCCGCGTCTTTCCTTAATGCTCTCTTGTCTGCTTTCGGTTGGGATCAACCGGGTTATGCCAGTTATATGGAAATCTCGCAAGGTTGCTAGGCTTGGCTGGCAATTTATTCCGATTCGATCGCATTTGCCAACCAACCCCGCATTTGACAACAAGATCTGGTCCTTTATTATGTTGGCTCCTATTGGTTCCTACAAACATTGCATAATTTGCCCTCAAATAATCGTTAAATCTGCCTCGGGGTAGCCTTCAACAACCCCACCGGAAGTTAGTTATTGTCATTCCATTGGCAAAGCATATGATAGTGATATTTAACATGATCAAATAACCTATTGGTTACTCTTCATTGCGGTCTTTAAAGCCGTTCTTCTGTTCTGCATATCTTGTTTGATCAATCGTTGGAATTTGTCGCCGAGCCTATGAAGCTACTAAGGTGGATAACAGGCTCCATGCGGCATCGAAAAAGAAAGTACCGCCAATATTGTACATTAGAGGTGTGTTGGGCCGGATGTCTTCTCAACAATAGCCGAGTTGCTTATGCGTCTGGTCGGTGGTTGACCCCGGCCAGATCCAACCCGATCCAAACCAAGGGCTATCATTCTGGAATGGGCCAAGTGTGACAGAAAAGCCTGTCTTAGAGAAAGCTCTGATGTATCGTGATATTCTTCAGCACATAGTGTATATAGCCCCACGGATTCGGGGTGTTAACAGAGGCCTTGAGACGAGTGGATAGACCACTTAGGTAGTATCATTTCCCGCGGCCAAGAAAGGCGGTAGAACTGATTGCATGGGTAAGATTATATACTTCATACTATAAATCATCCTGATCATCTACGTATTTTGTCACACCTGGGTCGTGTGTCCGATTGTCTAAGCATAAATACAAGTTAGTTATTCAAAGACGTCTTAGCTAAGCTAGCAACTATGATTCTATCAGAGTAAGTAGAATTCATTCTAGAGCCCTAACATGGATTGACTTTCAGGCACTGCATTTATTACATCTTATTTCGAACGTTATGAAACTCGTTGATTCAAGATTACGACCCGCTTTGCTGGATCCTAGCGACGGCACCAATCAGAAATTTATCTAATACATTGGCAGCGATATTGTTCACTTGGGTTGAAATAGTCGATAAATATGCAATGCGAGATGATCCATAAATCCAGTTTAGCTCAGCTAAACTAATCGCGATACTTGGTACACTAACCACGGTGTAAAAATGGTAATGGGTGATAGGGATATCTCTGTATCCACCTTCTAGTAAACTCATGATGCGATTTCGTATAGACTCATTAAAGTACCTCTATGGCTGAATTCTTATTATGGTTCCAATATCGTAAGGCCAAAGGTTTGTCTTGATGATATATGAGAATAAGCCAAATATCGGATGATTTTGGTCAGCATTGCCTACCCAGGCACCGAAATTGCACTTGTCAATGATGCTACGTATTGTCCGTGAACGCCTCCTTTTCAATTGAGAAAAGGCATCGACCAGGACTCATTCAAGTCCATGACGAAGGCTTGTTAATATGACGAAAAAAGGTCAATGGGAAGTTATCGCATGCAAATAAAACATAGAACTGAACGCATTGATGAGAAAAGTCCATCTAGCCGCATCCTGAGGAGGGATCTTTTGTCCACGGCGGACATATCCGTGCCATGGAGTCAGTACGGGCTGTCCGCGGGAGGAGAAAAGCCCGACCAAAGGTTCACAAACGTTCCAAAGGATCCCATTCTAGGCAAATCCGTCTGACCAGTTGAAGCTACCACCTCACATTCTGACATGTGGCTGCTTATTGTGGAAATGCACAACTACCCACCCCGCATGAAGTCAGCAGAAAGGGTGGCACAAGAATCCTGGCAGTTTTAACAAAGTTCCTAAAAGTTCCTGAGCCTAATGCTGTAGACCCCTGGCCAGCAAGCGATGACGTCTTACCTTTAACCACTTGTTGACAGCACCAAAGTTCCAAAGGTGCGCAATGCCACGGTGATTTGCGGCACGGTTCTCTGCAGGAGATAGGAGAATTTCGAGACCTTTTGCAATCGGCGGCCAGAATTCAAAAGTTCTTGAAAGTTGACAAGCATGGAAGAGATGGCGTTGGCTACCGGGCGTGACACGAAAAGGGGTTGATCTTGCTGGTTCGAAGCGTTCTCAAAAGTTCGAAGTTGGTGTGGGACTGTCACTGCCTTGAGACACGGCTACGTATAAATTGATAGCAATTCAATGGACAATGGAGCCTAAATCTGGTTCTATCTAGCTCTTTCTTGGTAGCCGTTAGTGCTGTTTTAACTCAAGCATCACCAAGGTTGAAGGCATCTGCAATTCATATGATCAAATTTTGAGAAGGTAAGCTTATATTGCTTGACTAGAGATCAGCTATAACTCCGATCACAGTGTAGGGTACTAATACTTTCGACTTACCACCTAGAAGATGAGCCCCGGCGAAAGCTCTCCTCCGGACGCTGGCCAGCAATCACGGATATTTCTTGCAGTCCCCCGACACTGGGGCAATATGGACTGCAAGCCCCAACAGGGTGCCCAAAAAGACGGCGATATGATGCAGCATTGGCTCCAAGAGGCGGCCATTGATGCCCCCTTCAATACAATAGCCATGGTAGCAGTGGCTCAAACTAAGACGCCAGTAGCTCATGACGACGCTACATCCAGTGAGTCAATACGAGCAGTTTGCAGTTGGCTTTTCTCTCGGGTGGCCTTCACTCACAGATAATTTCTAGAGCGGAAATACTAAGAGGATAATCATATATTCCATTGGTCATGATCTAAGAATACAGTTCTATTGTAGAAGAAGAGTGCTTATAGACTTGCGTGGGGTTAGATATTTGGCAGAGCGGAGAACAGAGATGGCTCGGAAGCTTATGGGTTACTGGTGAGTTGGAAAAAGAAATGTAGAGGATATCAGGTCCAGGAGATCTTAAGTTAGGTTTATTTTGTCCAGGGTTAAATTTTGTGAGAACCACCGACGGATATGGTGAATTGGAAAGTAACGATTTGGAACAAAGAAGTCATCTGACAGAATATGTACTGAAGGAATACAATATCATCATACACGCCGACTAGTGTGACAATCATTCATCTTTATTACAAGAGAGGACAAATGTGATGTCTGTGAAAGGTTTTCAATCCCATCTCTATCCGCCGTACCAACATAACCAATCAGTTAAACAAAGGGGCCTCAGGATCATCGAACTCCGTCGCGATAATGATACCTCTACATGCAATTAACAGAAGCCTTTCAAAAGGGTATAGCTTTCGAGGCGAGACTGGCCATGAGTCCGTAAACACCTCATAAGTCATTGTGCCCTGCGGTTCTGAGTGGCTGCGGTAGTTGGTTTCCGAGTTCCAGCATGTAGGCGCAGTCGACAGCGGCAGCTTGGCTATCGTGTGAATCTCGGTGCAAATCCCATGCCGGAAAATAGAATTGACTCCATAGACCATGTAGACAATCACCGCCGTGCGACGGATGCATTCTGCCAGGATCCATGAGTCCCACCCCTCGGACGCATCAAGCTCGGCTCGAGAGCGTGTGAGAAGCTTCAAGGCTAATCCCAGAATGATAACTTGCTGCTGTTCAGCTAGAACTCGATGTTCAAGGCCACCGTGGAACAGCCGCATCATTTGGTACAGAAGTAAAGCCTGGAGTCGGGCGAGTTCATTGAATAACGACGCGTCTCCCTCGGGATTGTTAAGGATTTCAACAACCTCCGCATCCATGATTTTGAAAAATGTTGCGCGGTTGCTCTCATTGATGAGACTGCAAGCCGAACACATTCCGAAAGCTGCTCTAATAGGCTGTGGCATTGACTTTTGATATAGTTGAGGGTGGATGAATAAAGTCTGCGCTTGCTGAGCAAATTCAGATGGATATGTTTTTAGCTGGCTTAACACCCATTGCCAGCTCTCATTGCTTCCTTCTATAGGTTGTACCTCGCCGAGGGGGCCGACCAGATGAAGGTCCAGCTGAGCCGATGACATGCCAAGCAGAATAGATTGGCTAGGGGATTGTGAGGCCCTAAGACCAGAGAGAGTCTCATGCTGGTCGGAATGAAAAATAGAGGCTCTACCAGCTTCAAAAGGCTGAGGCATGGTATTGCTCATCATGTCCAGGAATGTTGTGAATGAGATATCAGAGGCCGCAGGTGAACAGCCAGCGGTGATGAAGTCGTCAGACCATGTTGTTAAGTCTGAAGTTGTCGTTGCGTCGGATGGCTTGACGCTTGATGCATACGCGTAACGGCATTTCTTCTTCGTTCGACTGCATGTTCCACAAGCGGGACGGCCATAATCACACTTCCGGCGGCTTTTGAAACAGGCATCACAAGACTTCCGTCGCAACGACATGGCTATAGACTTTCAAAGAGCCAGTTGAGCGGGTCGCGTAGAGTCATCCCTCTGGTCAGGCGTTTGGCAGTAGGTTTTCAATCTTACTCTGGCTGAGAGCGTGAATGAAGAAGAAGTAGTTAGTTACCAGCTTGCTTACTACACCCATGAATCATGATGATATGAGACCCAGAGGTCCACCATCATTGGCTAAGCAACCCATCCATTGAAACGGCTTACCCCACCCCAATTTCGTCGTCAGCAATCAAGTAAGGTTTTCACCCGCTACAATCGTATAAACCATCATGAAACTAGGGCCTCTTTATGCTCTGGTCTTTGGGATAGGCCCCGCTGCCTGTTCCTTTAGTCTCGATGTTGTTGGAGGTCAGAGCAGCCTCTCACCGACAACCTCGGACGCTTGCCGCTCCGCTTTTCTTGCACCCATTGATTGCGAGGAGACACTCCTCCAACTAGCCTCGTCTGGACTGTTCATGTTCAGTGAACAGGATCCCCTGGAGCTCACATGTACAGACACCTGCAAGGCAGCGCTCGATAAATATGTACAAAACGTCAAAGGCGCCTGCACAGCCCCTGGGGACCGAGCGATGCTCAAGGATAAGGCGGTGGGTGTTCCTCAGCCGCCAGTTGAAGTAGTGGGCGAGATATTTCAGTACATCTATGCGTGGGGGTGTGCTAAAGATGGGTATGTTTTGGTGGCTTCCTGAATTTTGAGATTCACTTGTGGAAGGAAAGTGCACTAATATTCATGACGGGCGATAGCAAGAAGTGGTGTTATAAGAAGTATGGGTACGGACACCCATACTACGCCAAATCAGATTTTCCTTGCACGGCAGTATGTCCAGTCAAGGCCATGGAAGCGGCCCACGAATATCCAGGCTCGGACTTTCTGTTCAAGACGCACAAGCTCAGCATGCAGTCACCTTGGTGGAGAAATCTGTATGCTGATGGATGGAAGACGGTGCTTAAATGCCGTGACGAAGGGTTCTCTTCAACCGACGACAGCGAAGCACAGATTGCCATGGGCAGCTCCTCAGCTCATACCCGCAAGTCCTAAGGGAAAGTTCCTGAACCCATCAACAAAGTGATAACTGGTTGCATCAAATCCACAATCATAAGAGGCCAAGAGTGAGCGTTTAGAAGCAAGTATTCCCAGGTTCTTTAGCACCGGATGGAAGACGAGTGGTGGCCAGGGAACATCATTGGGCGAATAGCAATCAGCAAGCTGGTATAGAGGGCAATATAATTATCTTCTTTAAGCCGGGAAGCCTTACAATAGTGAGAAGAGTATCTATAATTCTAATCTTTACGATCAAATACCTCAATATGTACCAAAGCCAGTCATGCCATAACTCTCTTCGTCCCCCTCTAGTATAGCTATACAATAGAAAGACTAGCTAGTTATATTCAGCTCACGGTTTCCAATCTTACTTACACAACACTCAACTTCGGCCTAAGGATCTATTTGCTAGGATCATCACGCAGCAGGCAATAAACCAAACAGAGGAGGAAGTCCGTCCGTGTGTTTAAGTACAGATGGAGCGTGCATGAGGCAAAAAGAAAAAAGGAGAGACTCCCCCGGACAGGATTGAACTGTCGATCTTCCGATCACATGCATGTTAACAGTCGGACGCCTTAGCCAGCTGGGCCACAGGGGAATGTTTCAGTGGGTGTGCCCACTTGAGCTGGATGGGCTGCGGGTGAAAATCGGGGTCTATGTATTTTTGCAATGAGATATTTCCATCAACCGTGACTTGCAAGACAGGATAACGCAGGAGGGATAGGTAGTTGACCTTTCCCTTCTAGCTCCATAGGACTAAACGCTGTGTGAAGACGGACATAACTGACCTCAGCCAAGGAGAGAATCACAAGCAAAATGCAGCCTAGAAGCCCTTTGGTGGGGTTGAACCTAGGCTGTCAGATGTGCGAGGGGCCAGGCAGCGAATATCCATATCACTAAGCCTAACAGTGCTAGAACCAATCAATAGGGAGAGTCTAGGGACTTATTGCGGGCACCATCTGCCCCAATTCCTTCATCTCACCTCTGCTCACTTTCACGTTTCATGGATACGGCACAGCCGGCAAGTGTGGCGGAGCTCGAATCAAATAAGACTATTATTCATGCCCCTTCACATCTCAACTCTGTTCAACTCTGTTTAACAATCATTCGTCAATCATAGAAAATGACAGTCATCATCAAGTCAGAAAAACAGCCTGTGCAGTCGAGCGTTGCTCCTGCGAAGGGGCTCCAGGTCATTGCTGCAACATTTGGCGGTGTGATAGTCACAGAGAAAATCAGAGAACTGATCCAGGATGATGAGTCCATGACATTCAGAATGAACCAAATGGTTCACTACCTCGCTCCTGACCCTCTACCAAATTGGGTGAAGACACTGACGATACTATATCGCTTCGATGACGGTCCGCTGTCTCTTTTCAACGCCACAGAACAGTACTCCGGATCCGTCAAGATCTCGCGAGAGACCGCCCCGACAATGGCCAATCAACAAGTTGAAGCGGGTTTGAAACAGGGACCCTTTGCGGATGTTGAGGTATTGGCCGTGATCTACGGCAAGAAGAGGATCCAGACGCCGTCGGTCCTAGCTGATTTGGCAAGGTTCTTTGCTGATGAAGAGCAACGGGGCCAGATACGCATGGTCAATTCATTCTTCAAGGAGGATACTTGGCCGAACACCTGGAAGTCGTGGACGATATTTTTCAAGTTTACTGACTCCAAGAGGATACAATGTGTGACCGGGCTGGAGAATGGCGCTTTAGAACTACCTTGGTCGAGGCGTGACTGATGGGAGGATGAAGCATAATTGGGAGCTCATTTCAATGCTTATTTGACATTTTAACTCAATTATCAAGGAAAGGCAAACATAATGCACTGGCAATAACATAGATCGCCAACTTCCGCGTGCATAACATAAGTAAAATGCTCTCATTCATGTAGGAATCCATGAATGGTCTCAAATTCTTAGGTGTGAAGGGCAAAAGTCGTTGGTGAATGGCGAGTTTAAAGAGGGGCATAGACCGAACCACAACGATCACGAAGCCGCGAGCGAAGATGATATTATAACACCAAGGAAAACAATTGAAATTCAGCAAAACAGTTAACCTAGCAAACCAATTGAAGATGAAAAAAACCGAGGTTTTCTCCTTCTAAGAATTAGCTTGAAACCACGCATGACCAAACAGTATTTTCTCTAGCACTTGAAAACTGCTGAGTCGCGACTGACTTCACATTAGCCCCCTCATGCATGTACCGAAATGGTCAGCGATCAGACATCAGAGGATTACTTGTTGTATCTAGGCAGCTGATCCTTAGCAAAGACGCCCTCTGCCTTAGGACGCAACCTCACTCTTCGTGGTGAAACTTCCATATCCTCGTTCTCACCCTCGGTCTGCCTTCGATTTCTCATCAACGGAGGCGGCATCTGATCAATATCTGTCTGTTTGCGATATGACCTTCGCACCTGGATATCATCCAACAGGGTTCGTTCTCTGGCCGTGTTGTTATCCTTATCTTGATGCGAATTGTACCCTCGTCTGGAGGATTGCTGAGCGTTATTCTGATCAAAATTGCTCAAATTGTTTATATCGGCCATTTCAGGGGCACCAAACCCTGGAATAGGTGGACCAGGATACGATAATCGGGTGCTGGGCTGTATTGACTTGCGCTCTCCCACCGTTCGACGTCCTAAGGGGGGTCTTGGAGACGGCGGTCGTGTGTGAACCCACTCGCCCATCAAACCTCCGGTATCTGCTTTCGTGCCAAGCGTGTCTTGATCAGGAATGATCCTGTGATGACGAGAGATCCCATGGGTCTGCGCTGTTCTCAGATTTTCGTGTCTGAAGCTAAGCGGGCGCAAATTCCTTGTCGCCAGTTCGGCAAGGAGTGCGGTGCATTGCGCCTCCCTTCCCCCAGTGCAATCTCGTGATATGGTATGGTGCGCAACTTCATCAGTCTCTTTCATTTGCATTTCTTGGTACATCTCTTTCATTTTTCTTTCTTGGTACGTCTCATTCATTTGCCATACTGGGTGCGTAAGGACGATGTTGTTGGAGCAGGGAATCCTATGCCGCGAGTGCACGCAGAGCTGAGGACTGAGGACAGTTTCGACTCGGCCGTCGGTATAGCGGTAGGTAAGGACGTTAGTAGTACACATAGTGTCGAGTTGCTGTATACTAGTAAACGTATAGCGGCACGATTGCTGTGTGTAATGTGGTATGTGTCCCTTGTTCTGGATCCTGATAGGAGGGAGACAAGGCGTCTGCACCCTTGATCTTGAGGAAGAGTCTATGCTCTTTGGTTGAGAGTGGTAGAAGTCGCTCTTAACGACGATGTGAACCTTATTCCACGTCCTCCACCAATGCGGCGTTAACGCGACCGGACATCCTTAAACATGTACTCCTGTTGGAACTGGGCTAACCAGGCACTTTTCAAAGCTCTATCGTGTTCTGCTACTCGAGTAGCCCTGGTGTTGGGACGAGGGTCCTTCAAATGGACTAAACTAGTCCACTTTCGTCGATTAGATATCTACTGTTTCATTTTAGCTATTCAAGGGCCAACTCGTGTAGGTATTGACAATCCGCCATCCGATGGCTTTAGATCTTACGTTGACGTATTCACAGCAGACTCGTTACGGGAGGGTCCGTCTTGAGAAGTTATTAATTTTTCAATGTGCGTCGAGCGCGCTCTCGAGCGTCACCGGGTCCATGAACAGGATAGATCGTATTGAGAACATATGGGTGATTGACGGGACGTAGGGGAGCGGGATGCATTGCGGGGTTGCGGCTGAGTTTGCAACAGAATGAGGTGAGATTCGCTGCAGACTCACAACAGAGTCGGAGCATGTGATTGGAGCATATATATGGGCTATCTTACTGTTTGAGCGCAATTGAGCGTTGTGTGCCTAACTAAACGTGACCAGCTTACGCAAATCAATGTTTCTAATATAGTCAAGTTATTTTTTCCTCGTCTCAATATTCATGGCTACGGCTCTCTCAGCGCTATCCAGAATGTACGCCTACAAGCACGGGCAGCGCATCTTATTAATCCCATACGTTTTCTTGTCGATAGAAAAAAAAATTCATAGATAACGTTCAGACGGCCATTACCTAAATATAATAATTAAAATTATTAGAAGGTCCCGTATATCATCACGTAACGCAAAATAATCCAAGTATGTATCTCGACCCCCATTTAGTTGTCAAAATTCATTCCAGACATCTCGGTTTGTTTTTCTACATTATTGATACAGGGTGCATCTTCCTCTCTTCGCCATGAACTCTCATAGGTGAATCTATCTTCCTCGTAGTCTGGCATATTGAAAATCATATTCGCCAATCTGGGCAACAAGGCCACAACCATTAGCGGCCTACCAATAGACTTCATATTAAACTTCCCGCCCTAGCGCTTGAAAACCCAGGTTCGCTTTCTCCCCTGTATTTCACACTGGGTTGACGCGGGATTGTTTCCGAACCGAGACAGGTCTCATCTGAAGCCGGATACCCTACCCTAGAGTCAAGATCAGGAACACGTTGGCGAGAACCGCGGTTCTCTGAGGAAAGCGTTCTCACGATTCAAAAGTCTGCGAATGTCTTTGTCTGGTAATATCAGAGTGACTCGTAGATCTGAGGTATTTTCTTGGGATATTTTTTGTTGAACTAATTGGACACTGTGATGTGGCGCATGGACGGCACTTGCAGGTGGCAGCCGTCTGCCCCTGAGACAACCATCACAAGCAAGGGACGATGTGCAGGAGATCTCAGCCACGCCCCTGACCGACGAGCCAATCAGCGGCAGCCATCACCCCGTTTTCAGCCTCAGCTCCAGCCACGGTCTCACAGCCGAAGCCAAAACCCTGCTCCTCACCAAAGGAATGTCTCGGATTTGTTTGCCTTGAAGGGCGTCAGATCAGGTCAGGTCCGGTGTCCAGGTCAGCAGACAACAGCCAGTCGACCAAGTTTAGAACGCCCGTAGTGGGCTCGATCTGCGACTAAACCATCCCGTCGGTCCACCACCCCAATTCCAGCTCGACGTCAAAACGCGCCGACACCTCCTCCACGATGCAGCGGCATCCTGCCTCAGTGGACATCTTCTCCGCCTCCATCTACGCTTATACCGGCAGCCCTCGTCCATCCACGCGCGAAGGTTTCGATGCGCCGCCGCCCCTGACCCAATCCCAATCCTCCAGCGCCGTACCGACCCTCTCGTCCTCGTCCGCCACCACCACCTCGTCGTCGACCACTGCCACTACCAAGGAGAGCGGACTTACGGCCAAAGATCGCAAGTCATCTTTCTCCCGCAAAGCCGCCGCGCCCTTTACTGGCTCGCGCCGCAGGGGCTCCTCCGCCGGCGGCACCACCACCTCGAATGCTTTTGTCACCGATGCCGCCGCCCCTCCCGCACTGCCAGACTACGCTCTCGCAGCCGCCGCAAAGGTCATCACCCGCGATCGCGACCACGACTACCACATCACCAGCCCGACCAGCCCCGACAACTCCGTCAAGATGCTGAGTCGCAGCACCACCACCTCCTCGACCGCCGCCCAGATGACGCCGCCGTTCCCGCCTCCCACGCCATCAAGTTCCGGGAATGGCGGAGCATTCTGGCAGCCGAGCGACTCGAGTGTCCTCTTCCAGCAGATCACTGATCTGGCTCACAAGCGCATAACCACATTGGACTATCTGCGCAAAGCGTAAGACTACCAACCCAGCCTCCCCAGCCCCGGCGGAGAACTATTTGGCCACATCACAGGCTCGGCTTGCTGACCCCTCACCTTATCTACAGACACGAAGGCCGCGTTTACTGGTTCAACACATACCTCTTCGACAAGTCAGACCTGAACCGAATGCCATGCTTCGATAACCGCAAACTGGCTCGCAAAGCCACAAACTACCTCCTCCTTGGCATATCTCTCCCCGTCGTCGTCGACCTCAACTCGAGCACCCCCATCGAGCTCCTCCGCAGCCTGAGCACGCTGCTCTCCGAGTTCGACTCCTTCCAGCAGCTCCGCAGCGAGTCCTCGACCGCGGCCATCACGCGCGCGCGTCTCCCCAACATGTTCCGGCGTCCCGGCGGCAAGTCTCGCCGCTCCACCTCGGCCACAGACACCCTCGAGGATGCCTTCTCCGCAGCGGGCAGCGTCAATTCCGCCGGCGCGAATGGCGACGGGGGCATGGCCTCGAGCGCGCCCTCGGTCATCAACTTTGCCGCCTCCGAGTCCGACCTCCTCCCCGGCGAGGAGTACGTGCACCTGCTCACACCCTCGCTCCCCTTTGAGCCCGACTACTTCGAGACGTTCGCCACGCTCTGCGATACCCTCATCGACTGCTACTCGCGCCTTCTCGCCCTGATACCCACTGCCCGAGAATGCTCCGCCGCCGTGGCAGAGCTCTTCACCAAAGCGGATGCCCGGGTAAGGAAGATCATCGTCCAGGGCATTATCAAGGAGTTCGAGGATAGCAGCAGGGCCAATGTGCGGTCAGAAGTGGGCAACGTGGGCAAGGTCGTCCTCAGCGGCCTGATGGGTTGACCTGCCCCTCCATTTCCGTTTCCCTTCGATATGACGACAAAGCATGGCAGTTCTTACGAGACCGAGAAAGCACCACCGACTGGCGTTTCCTTTACACACCGCATAGCATTTTCATGGACACTGGGAAGAAGGTTGGAATTCTGTTTGCTGTTTTTTTGTGCCCTGACGTGGAGGAGAAACACGAGGGCCGAGGATGCGGAGGGGGAGTTACAACGGAGTGAAATTATGCAATGTTTGGATCTTGGCGTTATGATTTGGGCAGTGGGTGACACAAGATACATTTGGGCGGCGAAACGGGAGAGCATATATGTTATAGCCATGTCATTGATTTCTATGGGCATCTTGGGAAAGCAACGACCTTGGGCATGGGGGCGCATGTGAAACGAGGAAGCATTTTTACGAGAGTATCATTCAGCATGGTGGGCTGCCAAAGTCGGGGGGAAGCGAAGGCTTTGACGAAGGCTTGATACTGCCATTATATATCATCAGCGGCCCAGGCCAACTGCCTTAGTCGCGTGAATATAGCGTTACAATACATATATATACAAAGATGTTACAACAACTCAGCTGCATTTCCAGCTTGTCATAATTCGTTGGTCTAGACCGTAATCCTTTCATTTCTTTGCCGCCTTTGCCTCCTCTTCCAGTGTCAGGAGCTCTATATCCCGCCCAACAAGCCACTCCTTGGCCGCCGTCATCACCTTGTCCAGCGTCTCACCACCCTCGAGGACATCCGGCAGGTTGTGCACGTCGAACCCAGCCCGGTGGTCCGTACACCGGTCCTGGTTGTAGTTGTACGTCCTGATCTTCTCGCCACGGTGGATCTGCGCAGTCGTCAGTACCGAGTTGCGCAGCCGCGCCGCCTCGGCCTCCCGTTGCTCCCTGCGCCCGTCGGCCACGCGCGACCGCAGCAGCTTCCACGCCTCCTGCCGATTCCGCTGCTGCGAGCGGTGGTCCTGCATGGACACGACCTCGCCCGTGGGGATGTGGGTGATGCGGATGGCCGATTCGGTCTTGTTGACGTGCTGGCCGCCGGCGCCTCGGGCTCGCATCGTCTCGATGCGGCAGTCCTGCGGGTTGATGTAGAAGTCGCTCTCTAGGTCGTCTGGGTTGGCTAGGTCGCCGCCGGCGCCGCTCTCGGGGAACAAAGGCAGGACCCAGATGGCGCTGACGCTGGTGTGGACTCGGCCCTTGCTCTCGGTGCTGGGGATGCGCTGGACGCGGTGCATGCCTGCCTCGCTGCGGAAGATGTCGTAGGCGCCCGGGTCGAGGACCTCGAGGACGGCTTCTTGGAGGGGCAGCTCGTTGGCGCTGGAGGACTTGTCACCCGCGGAGTCGGCGGTTTCGTACTTGAGGACGTTGGCGCGGTAGCCTCGACGTAGGCAGAGGGCCTTGTACATTTGGAATAGGGTGTCGGTGAAGTACCTGCTCTCGGTGCCGCCGGGGCCGGGGCGGAACTCGATCATGCAGGGGAAGTCGGCGAAGGCGTCTCGGGGGGTGAGACTGGCGCCTAGATCTCGGGCGAGGGCGTTGAGGCTGGCCCGCTCGGCTTCGAGCTCCTCGCGGGCTATTGAGGCCAGCTCGGCATCGTCCTGCGACTTAGGTTCGGTCTCGATGAGGGAGGAGAGCTCCTCGACGGAGGCTTTGGCTTTCTCGAAGGCTTGTAGGGCGGCTGCGACGCGTGACAGCTCGCCGGCTCGTTTGGCCTTGGCTGGGTCGAAGGAGGAGCTGAGGGTGGACTGGAGGGCGTTGTGTTCTTCGACTAGGGCATGTGCTCGTTGGAGGAGGGCGGGGGTAAGAAACGATTGACTCGAGCTGGAGGGTGCGTCTATTCGGTCGTTAGTTGTTGGCGTTTGATTAATACCAACTCGAAGGCATGTCTGGTCTAGATCATCGCTTTGGAAGGTGAGGGGTGGGGGACAAATCGTACCAGATGAGAGGGTGCGCACAGCTTGACGGACTGGGCCACGCCTCAGTGCCCTGAAGCAACTCCTGCATACCCATGGCGCAAGGCTCATAGTCAATTGAGCAGTGTGGATAGCTGCTGCTCAATACTACAGTGAGGGAAAGCGAATGCAGCCTCAGCACACAAAAAGATGCAGCGTTGGTTGAAGCCAAGATCTAGATTTTGCGATAACAAATTGCCAAATGGAGTAACTTCGGGTGGATGTCAGCGGGGCCTGTCAGAAGCTCAGAGCTTCAGAGTTTCAGCCGTTGTAAAGCCGCAATAAACCGCCACCACCCATCCCATGATGGCTTCCAGAATCTCGACGCGACAGCAGGCCAAATAGGTGCATAGTAGGCGAAATAAACCTATGTATTAATACGAGGATGTGTGGGCACGAAGATACTGTATTATTCTGAAATTATTGATCAAGGCAGTGGTTAAATCTCTCGCGATCAGCTGAGCAGCGTCCTCGAAGCTGGACTGTGATATGGAACAAGTTAGAGCTTCGTTCTATACCTCTTCCGACATCGCAGGATTTCGATGGCCTCATTTGGTTCACATGATCAAAACTTTATCACGAATACGACTACCTGCCAGACTGAGTTTGATTTTCTGCAGGTCTGGAGACTTGCCCACTGATAATATGCGCGACCGTAGTCGGAGACTGAGGAAGTACGTAACATATTTGTTTGTCATGGTCACCACTATCACAGTGGCCATTCTATCGATGCGTTCCACCATCCCCATCGAAATCCTAAAGCGAGATACCATTGCTAATGCATAGGGTTAGGTTCCATTTTGCTGTTTTTAAATACATATTCCCCTCCATCTGCGTGCTTGAATGAAAACTGTCCATATCTAAGACAAGCACTGGAGCGAAGCCGATTTACACGCTGAACACTCCTCTCTCCACACGCCAAACGTCACAATGCCGGCTTCTACCGTCATATACCCCCCTAAACCAAAGTATAGCTTCCTTGACGACTATAGTGAGGGCGCACACCCTCAATTATTAGAGGCCTTGGTGGCCAGCAATGGCACCCAGGAGACAGGGTACGGAAATGACAGGTACAGCCAGGAGGCCCGCCAACACATCAGAAACCACCTCGGTCGTGATGATGTCGGCATCTTCTTCGTCCCTAGTGGCACGTCTGCAAATGCCATCTCTATCGCTGCCTGTCTGCGACCTCATGAAGCCGTGATCGCTGCCAGCTCAGGCCACATCGTCACCAGGGAGACTGGCGCCGTCGAGGCAACCGGCCATAAAATAATCAATGTCCTGCCTGAAAACGGCAAGCTGACACCTTTGAGCATCAGCCAAGCTCTTGAGGCCAACTGGCATTTCCCTCATATGGCGAAGCCGCGCTTGGTGTACATATCCAACGCGACCGAATTTGGCACCATCTACTCCAGGGCCGAGCTGGCTGCCATCAAGGCCCTCTGTGTTGAGAATGGACTCCTGCTATTTATGGACGGCGCTCGCATCGGCGCTGCACTGACCTCGCCCAAGAGCGACATGACGCTTCGAGATGTTCTAGAGTTGGTGGACATCTTCTGGATCGGCGGTACCAAGAACGGCGCGCTCCTTGGTGAAGCTATTGTTGTCAAGGACCCTAGGCTCGCTGAGGACTTTGAATTTTACGTTAAGCAAAGAGGGTCCCTCCTTGCCAAGGGCCGAATAATAGGCATAGAATTCTCCGAGCTGTTCAGGGAGAATTTGTACTTTGAGCTGGCCAAGAGAGGCAACACTGCAGCGCAGAAGCTATCCCGCTCCATCGAGGCTGCGGGGTACTCTCTTCTTGCGGACACGGAGACGAACCAAATGTTCGCAATTCTGCCTTTGAAGCTCATTGAAAGGCTGCAGCAGGATTTTATTTTTTACGTGTGGGAAAAATACGATGTAGATCACGCTGTGATTCGGGTGCTGACCACTTGGTCGACCGACTTTGACCGCGTGGATGAGTTTGCTCGGATTGTGATGAATTGGAAAGCAGAGTAATTTTGACGATTAATGATAGCATATTTGGACTTCTTTTGAATTTGAAGAAATACAATTGAATATTGCGAAATCTATGAGAAAGACGGCTTAGCTTTGAACACCTCCTGTAAATCTGAACATTGATCTGCTCATTGAGGTCTGGCCTATCCATACCGTCATGTTTCATGTCCAGTCAAGGTAGGTCGGATAACGCTGTGGTTTCAATTCGTAGAGTTCATTAATATGGTGTTCATTGTGACTAAGTAGCTTCGGTGTTAGATTTATCTCAGGAACTCTCCCCCAACAACATGTCGAGTTTTAGTACGTATTGCCTAACGGGGTATTCGAGTTGTGCCAATCTGCTTCAAATCGTTGCCATCCTCCTTGATCGGGATCACTGGAGGTGAATAGCGACTGAACGACCATATCGTAGTATCCATCAGCCGGTATCTTGCCCTGGCAAACGTTTCCTCCCATGGCTACATTCAACAGAACAGTCATATCCCTCAACGGTCTGGTCCCTTCCGGAACGTTGTGCTTCATTACCGCCCTGCCATCAACATACCACACCATCCTTCCCTGTCCAGCCTGCCCGCCGGGTTGGTCCCAGACGAAGTCATACCTCACATTGCGAGCACCCATATCAGGGATGGAGGTTGCCAAAACCCGGTGCTTCTGGGGCTCGTGATGGAAGCCCCAGTGGAGGCAAGACTTATTCTGGCGATCCCCATTGAACGATTCAGCAATGTCCACCTCGCCGTCCGTCGGCCATGAGAAGGGCTCCTTTGGCAGAAGCCAGAACGCTGGCCAGATGCCTTCGGCAGAGGGAGAGAGAATGACCGCAGTTAGGACACCTCTGTCGTGTCCCAGAGTCTCCCGACTTACCAGCCGAGCAGAGGTGTATCGCTGCTCTGGTGTAGGTGCACCGCTGTTGGCGAGAGCGCGCACAACAAGCCTACCATCTTGCGTACTGTGAATTTAATCGATTAGTAAATATTCTCAAGGCGTAGTGTTCTTCCTGTAATCGCAAAACATACTGAAAGCTGTTGGCTGGATCAGCGGTATAGTGCTGCAACTCTTGATTGCCCCAACCATCGGGGCCGTTCCCCAGCTTTGCGTCCCACTCTACATTGGTGGGAATTTCAGGCCTGAATTGAGGCTGCCAGTAGATCTGAGAAGCAGGAATGGGAGGCGGAGGGGGATAAGGTGGTGCTTGATATTCTTCCTGCTGTGATTGAAGTGGTGCTTGTCCTTGTGGCTGCGCTTGTGATTGTTGCGGCTGCTGGTCGTTCTTTTTCTCGGATGGATCCGCTATCATGGATTCAAACTCCTGTTTGAGGCTCTTTAAGTGATCTTTCCAGCCCATTTTGTAGAGATATTTCCGGATTCAAGGTTGATTGCTGGGAAAGAATGACGGTCAGGAGTGAATTATCCCCCCGCTTGTAGTTCAGGCGGGCACCCATGCATGATATATGAAATCGAATACGCGTCAACACTCTTGGCGGCGTGACGTAAGCCTGATATGTTCTTTGATTGATCCACGATTTATTTAAATACATATGAGTGGTTGCTAACTTGAGAGTGGAGTCGGTCAAGTAGAGGTTTCCTCTGTGATGCAATTCATTCAACCTGAAGGTTCATATTTCGCTTTTCTTGTACTCGAAAATTGCAGGGATGTTATAGACATTGGATCCTTTAAGTTGGTTCAATTAATAGAATTATGATATAAGAAAGTTAATGGCGGGCTCTTTGATTATCATCAGTACTCAAACTTAAGGGGCAGGCCCTGGAGCGTATATTCAATTGTTCTACCTTATTTCTCCCTTTGGTGGGATAAAGATTGATGAAAAGACGTTTACATAGACATCAGGGGGAAGCTATCATAGATAAAAAGTGTAAAATCATATGCCGAGACGCAGATTGTCCTTTCAACCAAGACGAATATCGACGGATATCAAGCCCGCTAATATCGGCTGCAATTAAGGCCGTGTTTAACTTTTAAAATTGTGAATGTCTCTTAACGGCGCATTATATACTCATAAAGGCTATGAGGAAAGGGATGGCCAAGAATAGAAATACCTCTGGGCTTCCTCTGCTTGCTGAAGAATCTGCCTCGGACTCTCTAATCGCCCCCCTCTGCGATTTCAAGCAGAATAATTCCGAGCTCCATCCATTACGACCGACCAACTTGCTCGAACTCCATCTGCTGACGACAATGGGCCAAACTCTATCGAGGGCTGCGTTAGCTTCTCGGCTGGCCGCGTCAGACCCAGCAGTCGCCAGCTCGCTCCCAAGTGCAAAGAAGCTTGCCTGGAGATCTGGACTTGTCGAGAAATCTACCTTCAAGTCAGCCACTTAATCAACCATGTTGGAATGAATACGTACTGAATGCATAGGAGCCAGAGCTCCTATTGAGATAATCGTAGCATTCTTCCGGCATGGCTCTTAGGACGCCGTAATCAGCGCTCAGCTGGTTGGTGAGACTGTATCCGCAAGTGCTGCTGATGTAGTCGCAACCAAAGGCCGATTGCAATGGCTTCGTAGCATTCGAAGGAAGCGAATCATAAAATATATTTACGTTGCTCACAAGTCCCTCCGTGTGTTTCTTAGGTGTTCCTAGCGAGAGTATGGACAGCTGTGTTACAAGGTTTTGACCATAGTCGGCAGAGACAGGTACGTCTGTCTTGACCGTTAAGGTGAAGCTCCAGCTGGTTCCATCCGCGGGGTTGAAAAGAATGTCATGTATTTGCGAGTCTGAGGCATTGGGGTTGGTCATGGCATCAGAGTAGACTTGCCGAGCCAGGCCCCATGGGGGAAGCCTGTCTGGGGTTTCACTCGTCCAAGACACCGTGGCGGACACTGGTACACCAGTGAACCCCAAGAGGAGGATTCTCGTTAAAAGTGATGACATAGCTTGAGAACAATAAGTGGCGATTTGCGATGCTTTTGCTGTGGGTTTGGTTTTCTTGGATCAATGGAGGTAGGCGAGGTATATAACGGAAGTTGCAAATCAGCCCAATGTTTCAAAGTAGTTAGTGTAAAATGGGCTATGGGATGCCAGGCGTATTTCTCGTGTCTGCATATTGACTGGGTATGCCTGCTAAGCAAGTAGATAAACTAATCTGCCTCACAAAGGATCCTAGTTAGTAGGGAAGGGGGATACATATTTGGTAATCCGTATGCCAGTCCGATTTGCTGGCCCATCCTCAGCCCTCAAGAACTCAAGAACGACGTGCTGATTCATTCATTTTTCCTGAAACCAGCTTTTTAAACTCAACACAGCCCTCTAGAAAGTACTGGTTAATTACAACACCGCAATAGTATCTACCCTTGTTGATAACGAGATGCGAACCGATATTTTTAGCTTTGTTATTGATTTGTTATGATAATTCTTCGTATAATTGATCTCATGCCAAGTGAAGCCGTGCCTAGGTGGGCAAAGCTGGTAAAGACAACTCTCAGTCAGCGACACCGTCCTTTCTGCACTTGTGATGAAGAGTGCATCTAATTTATTTGAGCCCACGGTAGCTGGGCTCCTACTCACAAAGGTATCTTCATGTAGAGATGCGCACGCCACCCACTCCAAGCTTCTGTATCTGTTCCGCCAGTTCGACTGAAGTTGTGTACGCCTTTCTAGCATGAGTTTTGTCATGCTCACTCCCATGCTCTCGGTTCCATTCCAAAACCTCCCAGACCATTCCCTGCAGTGTTGTCAAGACACCGCGATAACCGAGTCCACCTTCTTCTACAGGCTTCCTCGCCTCTGAATCAGACACGACCAAGTGTGTGCAGATAGAGAACAGTCCCGGTTGCAGGTACTTCAAGTCCCCCCTTATCTCTGGAAGAATATGTTTTAAAAGCATGTAACGGTACGGCAAAAGGATATACCATTCAATGATGTGTGAGAGCAGGAGAATCAGGATGGGTGGCAGAACGACGACGTGGAAGGAATGCAAGGACAGGAACTTAATAACGTTATAGAGATCCCGATAGGTTATAGGGGGGTTTGGATCGGTGACAACAAAAGGCCGACCGGCTTGTGGGCAATTCTTAGTCGTGAGAACAGCTTCGTGATGTAAATGTGCTACCGCCACGTTCGCCCCGTGTACGAAGCTTTGAACAATATGTGGCACCCATCTAAGGCGTAACAAATATGTCAGAAACGAAAATTTCGAAGGAGCGAAAGAAATGCTGGTGCACTCACGTTGGCATGATAGACTTGCTGAGAGGACCGCCGACCGTGTTATCGGTTGGATCCCCATAAACTCCGTTGCCGGGGCGAATACAACCCGTTCTAAACGAGTCGCCATCATTTGCTTCACAGACTAGACGTTCAGCCAGGGCCTTGGAGGCAGGATAGTTGCCGAAAAACTCTTCGTGTGGACGCAAAGGCTCATAGAAATCACTCTCATCGAGCACCTGCGCAAAGTTCTTTGGTATTGATACCCAGGGCGATGGAAAGAGCTCTACTGGGCGGATTGCGATGGACGCGGACGAGGTCGAGCTGAAGATGTCGGCACCAGCTTTGCGTGCTTCTATAAGAACGTTCTTGGTGCCTCTGACATTGACAGACTCTACAAACTCATATTGTAGTTTGGACCTGGCTGAAGGAACAATGATGGCAGCTGTGTGGAAGACGGTGAGTGGAAGGTGGGCTACTGCTTGGTTCCATGGCTTGCAGAATGCAGCTTGAACTGAGCCTAACGAGGTGATGTCTGTCTGAATAAAGTCTACTCTTGTCGCGGCTTCGCTGTGAAGATCATTGCGTTCTGGTCTGCGGATATCAATGACGCGAATACTCTCAGGCGGCGTCCCCCTAGCCAGCAGTTGGAGCACGATGTGGCCCCCGACAAGACCTAGAAGAGGAACAATTAGATTTGGAATTCGACCAAATGTGATCACTATATTCTGTAAATTCTCTTACCAGCGCCTCCGGTCACAATGTATCGTCGGTTCAGCCTCGGGGGGAGCTGGTCGGTATAGTTGATGGGGTTTTTAGCAAGTTCTTTGTAGGTCTGGGAGAGTAGCTTTCGGTCCCATCGTGACCCCGCAAGCATCCGGAACCGGGCTGGCGTTTCCAAAAACATTAGATTAATTCGAATAGAATAGAGCAGCAGGCAAGAAAAGAGGGCGCCGGCGATAGTGAATATCACGACGGCTGGATCAGCCAATGAAGGAAACACAAACGCCATCCTCCCACGCAAATCATAATAGACATGCAATGAAAGGAAAGAAAGGGGTGAGAGGGTGGGAAACAAACGAATTTTATTGTGCCCGTATGATGAATTGCCGTGTTCCGTTTCCCCTATTGTAACCCTTCAGGCACAGTGGTGCCAAGATTCCCTCTTACAGCCGAATCATGGCATGAGTGATCCGGCTGATCCGAAGTCCTAACTAAATAGCTCTGCGTGTGACCCATGCTATATATCAACCGCATTAGCCTTCCGTAGGCCTCGGATATCGAGACTCGTTTGTTTAGACCATAGATTAGCTTAGTTCAGATGAGTTGATAGTAAATTCTCTATGAAGACCCGTTAAACAGCATTCCTTAGGAGGAAGCATTGATGCTCTACTCTCTACTCTCTAGTTTTCCTTCTTTTTCCCTTTTTTAAGCCCATTGATACAAACTACATAACTTGGTCCTCATTTCGTTGCCTACATCAATAGCATATATCTCTAATCTATCAACAGGCTCAAAACCAGACAGTATTAAGCTCTGAAAAGCGAGGCTTTGCTTTCCATCGTTGTATGCTCTTTCTCGTTCCCTTACTGGCTTGTTTCAAGTTTCGATGCTACCGATAGAATCCAGTTGATAACATCATCCGGCGCAGTAACAGGCGGGACATGTCCAGCGTTGGTTGTTGTCACATCCACCCTGTTGCCGCTTACTTTCTCAATCATTTCAATTTGCGATCGCTGGGTTCGTGGCGCAATAGAGAGATCCCCATCAGCTACTAGATATGCCACAGGAACATCTGCGTAGCCAGGGTAAGTTAAGAGAGATGTGAAACTGGCAGCCGAATGGGTTACGAGCTGCTTTGCCCAGATCAAGCCCTGCTCTAACGGGACATCGGAGAAAACCACTTTCGCTGTCAAAGTGTCATCCGGATAGTAAAACCAGCCATCGTCCTGCCATGAGTTAGCGTGAGCCTTTGTATCCGATGGGTTTGGGGGCTGCCAACCCCAATCTCCATTAGAGGACTCCACGGTCCTGTTGAAGCTGGCTTGCCCACTTCTGGCACCAGGGATGTCATATATGCAAGGCCGATAACGCCACCAGGCTTTCCAAATTTTTGTCTTTCAATCTTGGTAAGCCCTTTGATGGATTCGGTTGCCGGCGTACCCCCATAAGAGTGCGTGACGAGCAACACATTGTGGCCAGCCTCAGCAAGATCGCTGATATGTCTGGCTACAAAGGCTGCATCGTCATACATATTGGGTGGTATTCCCGGCCGAGGGCCAGTCGCCAGACCTACACTAGGTGTGTGCAGGGCCTGTATGCTGTAGCCATGGCCAGAAACCCCAGCAACGACCTTGTCATAGGTTGCTGGGAGTGCTGAGGCTGCGGGGATTATCAGTATCGATAACATGCTGAGGATGAGTAATTTCGTCTGAAGACTGGTGAGGGGTACGCTGCGCGAGGATCCTAATGTAAGGGTAAGATTTAAGATGAAGGGGTACTTTAGAGGCGTGCAGGCAGCAAACCATTGTCTTCCGTCAGCATGTCAGATTGAATGGACGCAGGATGCAGATTCCTTGCACCAACCTGCTCCAGTTTCAATCATGGGATCGCTTATGTAATTTCAATGTCAAAGCCGCGCATCTACTGTTTGAATGGATTGTTGTGTATAATAATCGCGTCTACTATCGCCGCCGTCCGTGTCATCGTTGATCAGGCTGAGGATATGTACCCTATAACCATACAAGGTCGTTGGCGTTAATGGCAAATAAATCTGCTATTTATGGGACTTCAATGCCATAAATTCTTCCATTTCGTTGATTGAGCATTATGATCGCTGCTGCGTCAAATCTAGTAGGACAGATAGCAGGTTTCTCGTTTCCCGTTTTGAACAAAGGAATAATGATTACCTCTGAGTCGCAGCTGAATACAACGTACTTAAGTTCTCAAAATGTTCATTATTTGTGTTGAATACACAATCTGGCTCATAGAATTGAGAAGGCTCTACCTGAGCTACAGAACACGTATTTCAGACGAGGTCAACTTCAAGTGATGATCGCACACTTATGCTACCCATTGATTAGCCTCCCAGTTCAATGTAACAAAGCTATATCAATCCGTTCCTGGGAGTAGATGTCTGTGGCCCTCCGATGTTAATTCTGATATTTCTCTCAGTCGCTATCTAAGCCATAACGGACTGTTGGGCCCAAGCTTGCCCGAACGTCATGGTAATTGAGAGATTGTAATGACGAGGTATGGTGCGACAATTCGGGGTATCCATCTGCTAGCTACATAGGTTCACAGTGGTATCAACCACTCCGACGGTGACAATGCGGGTTTTTTGGGTTGATGGAACTTGCATGCAACTCAGGAGAATCATTTGATTCATCCAATGTAGGAATGCAGCAAATATGACCAGGGATAGTTTGAGCAAGGAACAACGCTGTAGAAGCGAATACCCTGTGAGTTGAGCTCGGTTTCAACAAGAGACAAGTCTTATTTTCTCCAACTTGATGGTCGTTCGTTCGTCAATACAATGATCACTCATGATTACAGCCTACTCTCTCCTCAGCTTAGTCAAGAGGATAATTCGAGTTCCAAGTTGACGACATCTATTTGAGGAATCTATTAGTTTTCGAGATTGATTTACCAGGCGCATGCTTGGCAAAGCTTGTCCTATAACCCTGTTTAATTTATGGTGGTGGGATATTCTCCGGCCCAGGATCTCTCCTATTATCAATTTGATGCAAGAAAACGGGTGATCCGGGTGACAAGGGCGAATGCGCGACGGAGGTGAAGGCCGGTAACAGGAATCACCCTTTCTCCCCCTTCTCGTCGCCGGCGATATGGTCAAGATGTGAGCTAGTGGAGCTTTGTTCGCTAAAAAAGCAAAGCCATGTGGTTTTCTAGACCATCTCATTCCCGAGCAAGCTGAAACTGACCGTTGTGGAGGCATTCTTATTTAATAGCTCACCCCTGAATGTACGAGAGCTGATGCCACCCGGAAGCCTTGATTAGGTTCCGGTTTCTTGTCGGGACCACTCAGGTGCAGCTCTGCCATATTATTGCATGGATTATGCGCCCTGGTCCACCGGTGGGCTGTTTCAATATACATCGTATTATGAAATTCTCCGGGAGCGGGATGGCGATAACGAATTGCTAACGCTGCCACATCCCGACGAAGTTTTACCACTGAAAGTGCCCACGTTCCAACCAAGGAACAAGCTTCATAGAGTAGCTTGGACTCTGGAGCTAACATGGGGCGGGTTGTTGGTAGTGTTAGCTGACATAGACCCTTGTCAAGTAGGTTGACACGCAATACTTACCTTCGGCCTGCCGATGTTGGACTGAACCACAGCCAGTAAGTGTGCACCGAGAGAAGAATACCACCGTCCGCTGCGTAATTGTGTCACAGTTTGTGACAGTTTATCACGACTACATGAGTGTGGCCTGCCATGGCAAACGGTTGGTCCAATACGGGACCTTTCTGCCCAATGCTATCCGTTACGCGCCGGGGCAGCATGAGATGACACAAGCATCGCTCTATGACTCGTGGATCATGACGCAAACAACGCGTGCTCGATCCATGGGAGATCATCGCAGCGAGGGTAGCAAACGCTTCCCAGTGATGGATTCTTCCAGAGAACCCGAGGAGAGGGTGTCCAAACAGTTAATGAAACAATATAACTCCACCAGACGCAGCTGACCCCTGCTATCACCCTGCCACCCTCCTTCGGCCTTACACCCTCCGTGAACTCGTTTTGTAAATAAGCTCTGGGGCCTGGCTCCCCACCGCGTAGTAGTAACCGCCACGGATAGAATTCCTAATTGGACCGCTACCGGACACGACCTGCTGTCTGGAAGCCCTTGTCCGGGCTCGCCATGGCCCCATGTGTCGTGTTGCATGAAGGTCAAGGGTGTTACAGTAAACGGAAGAGACTCCCATCTGGGGAAACCGTTGTTCTTCGCAGCTAGGCCCGACCCTCTGGCGCCAGAACCCAGCTGTGGCTTGCATACGGCGGGGGTACCACGCTCTCCTCGAGCTCGGCGGCAGGGAGAAACGTTTCGCAAGGGGTGATACGCGTGCAGATCGTTTAGTCGCATGGTCAAACGTTTCAATAACCTGGGAACCTGCATGGCAGAAGATTAGGGTGGTATATGATATGGCCTAATTTCCCCCCTCCCGTGACAGCTCTGCCATGTCCTCCGTCTGCCAGTGCATATTTCTCTTCGATAAATTCTCCTTTCGTCGATCATCTTCGCCTCCAATGGTCCTAGAGCTAGTCGGTTGATTCGACACTGGCCTCTTGCGCTCGCTACTCTCGACGTCCCCAGTTCGCTCTGTGGCCATGGAGCTACGCGCCAAGGACGAGCCCGTTCACGGGTTTGTGTCGCCTTACAAAGAGTTGAATGCCGGCTTGTGGTCGTTGTTTCTGGGTGCAACAGCCTTTCTGGGAATGCGGATATGGGTCAAGTGCGGTTATCGAAGCTACAGGCTGTGGTACGACGATTGGATCTTGGTTGGATGCTGGGTATGTGCTTCATCCTCCGAGGATCGGCCATTGTTATTTTCGCTCCTAATGGGGCTCATCCTTATTAGAGGAATTTCGCTAATCATCGGTCACCGTCCAGTTCCTCCTCCTTGCCAATAACGCATTGATTGTGTGGCAATTTGACAACGGCTATGTATTGGAGGACTCGACTATGAAATGGGACGACCGAATGCATATTCTCATCAACATCTCATCCTGCGGCACCCTGATAGGGCAGGCACTCACGAAGACGGCATTTGCGGTGACTTTACTACGAATGGGCAACCGTTACCAAAACTGGTTCTTGTGGTTTTGCATTGCCACAATGAACTCATGGATGATCGCCAAGGTTATCGTGCAATGGGCCAAGGTCTGCGGAAAGCCCAGCTATGACAATTGGTATCGGTTAGACTTTTGTGTCGGGTCCAAGTTCAGGGATGACTTCAAGGAAGGCGGAAACAGTAAGTCTCACTGATTCCCA